ACGAGACACGGATCGTCCTCGCAAAGCGCAAATGAAACCGAGCTCCCCTCTGGGGATGTACCAAATCCATTTCGCACCACCTCAGACATATTGGAATGATGATTCCCTTTTAAATACCAACAAACAGTGGTTTCCCATAGTTTCAAAGTGGTGCAGGATTTCGTCCATCCACAGTATATCTCTCCCTTGAACACCACTCCACCAAACGGAAACTCATCGCTTTAAGTTGGCCCAAAAGATGACACTGTGGATCTCAGGCAAGCCAGTATAGAAACCCTTCGCCGTGGTGTTTCTTTGTGGGTTCTCTTGGTTCCCTAACCCGGCAAATGGATCCACCGGGTGCTTAAAAATCCAAACCAAAACGGGGCACACAACTCGGGAGACGTTGCAAACACAAAAAGGCCTGGAGCCTTCCCCCAGACTTTTGGGGGCAGGGCTTACAGGCTTTCCTACTGTGGATGGACGAAATCCTGCACCTCTTGGAAACCATGGGAAACCATCGTTTGTTGGTATTTACAGAGGAATCATCATTCCAGGGTTTCTTAGGTGGTGCAGGATTTCGTCCATCCACAGTATGTGACCGAATCGAGAGAAATTTGGAAAGCTGGGAAGCCACAAACACCGAAGGGAACCATTTTCTTCACGGAGTGGAAACAGGTTGAGAATTGCACACTCGTTTGTTATTACACACGCATCTAGTTCTTTTCATGGTCTGTACTGCAAGCATTTACAAGTGCAAAAGCACATTCAAAGACTCACAGTTTCAGGGGTATAAAAGGGAGATGCAAGGGGGATGGATATGCAAGGGGTATGGGTGTGCATTTGATTGAAATTACTTGCCCTGTAGTTTCAAGGGAAGCCAAAAGGACAGCCACCCATGTTGTGGGTCCCCTAAACAAAGGACACAGCCATCGGTGTGCATTTCTGGAAAAAGAAGTTCCTTTGTGAGTCGATACGTTCTTCCAACCCAACCCCAAAAAACAAAAAACAAAAACGCAATGGTTGAGGCTTGGCCAAATGGGTGGCTGGTTTTTTTTTGAGTTGGTACCCATGCTTTGCTGGTTTTAAAGGGAAACCAAAAGGAACACCACCGTTTTTCAGGGTCTCCTACGTTAAGACATACCCAAGTCAGAGCAACGACCAAAAAGCCGGTCCTTCTGCTCTCGCCGGATACCAGCTCCACTTTGTACACCGGCAGCTGCGACACCTTATTCCTTTCTTTTTCGGGATACCCGTTATTCGGTGTGTGGGTGTGTGTGTGTGTTTTTAAAGGGAAAACCAAAGGGAAACCGCTGATTTTTGAGGTCCCCTCAAACAAGACGAACCCACTTCTGGTTGGCTTTTGGTTGCCCTCCAAAAGGCCATCCGAAATCCTACCCAACAACTTGAAAATGGCATGGGTATCCTTTTTGGTCTCCCTGTAAAACCACCAAACTGGGTGGCCTCAAAAGAAGACACACCAAGATGGGGTTGTGTTCTTGAGGGTACCCTGTTGGGCCTGCTTCAAATGGTCAAACCGAAACCTTTGTTGGGGCCCAAAGCTCTTGTTTGACACATAAACATTGGACCAAGCCTCCCAAATGCACCGAGTGGATGATAAGCGACTAAAACCTGCGGTCTGGTGGTTGAATTTGACTCATACCCAAATGACCGCCATCTCTGACTTTGAAAACCGCCAACAGGACGTGTGCTGGACTGGAAGTTGCAATGCCGAGTAAAATATGGGCACGCGCCAAAATACAGGCCCCCCCCCCCACAAGGGTTTCCCTTTCAGCCAAGCTGAAGGGTCCCTCCAAAAAAAACGTCTCTATATGATTCTATATGGACACCTGTTTGTGCTGCCATGCCTCTTGATTATCCAACCTCTTGTTGCTTTCTTTTCAACACGATGTCTCCATGACCCTTCCCCAACATTGCGGGCACTTTAACCCCTTCTTTGCAGGGTCATGGAGACTCCAGGTTACTTTACATCTGCGGGGCACTCCGCGCAACCCCGGCCTTAGGCGAAAGGCGCCGCCTAGTCGCTGTGAGAAAGACTCGAGGTCCCAGGCGCGCCTGCAAGCGCCAAACGCCAGCTCCAAGCTCCAAACCAGGACCCTCCAGTCGGTTCCATGTTTAGATGGGGGGGCAAGCAGAATGAAGTGGTGGGGTGCTATACAACATGATCTCATGGGAGAATCATGTTATCTGGCCTCCAAAAGCACCTCAGCTTTTGCCCCCCAACTTTCAGTATGTCTTTCTCAGGTTCTGGTTCATAGTTATAATGTGAGTCTTGGAGATTATGGATGCTTACCCCTTGGTGTACGCTGAATCTTGGTCCATAGTTCATCTTTGTAACATGGTGTCAAAGGGGGTGCCTGGATTGGTGCCGATGGAAAACAGCAGAAGCAACCAAATACATAATGAGTACAGAACGGAACATGTGTATATATATATATGTATGTATGTATAACGGGCACGTAAATGATGGCACATGTTTCATGGGTACATGATGTGTACATAATGGGTACACAAATAATCCGTGTGTGTATATACATACTCATAGAGAGAGAGAGAGAAAGGTTTCCTTTTTTTATGAGTACATGATGTGTAGACAATGGGTACACAACGTGTATATACTGTGTGCATAAAAGGTACACAATGTGTACGAAAAAGGGACCCTCCCAGACAAAAATCAGCCGTGCGTTCTGCCTAAACTCCAAAGTAGCGATAACACGTCCACTACAACCTCTAACTGCAAAGACCTGCCCGATCGATCGAGCAGCAACTCCAGCCCTCCTAGCCCAACCCTCGTCAAACGGCTTTTTACTAAACGACGGCCTAGTGATCGAAGCGCAGCAAAAGCCCCGCTTGGCAATCGAGGCCGGACATAGGTGCAAAAAAGCTCGCCAAGAATGGGTGTGTCTTTTTTGGGGGACCCCTCCCCAAAACAATTCAACAATATATAAGTGGCTTTCCTTCTGGTTCCCCTTCAAACCCACAAAAAGGGGAACCCTTAAAAAAAGACGCAGCCATCTGTTTGTTCATGACAGAGGCAGGCAATCTCAGTGCGCGCTTCTCAAGTGCTTCACCCAGCCAAGCAGAGCAAAGGAAACTAAGAAAACCTTCTGATCTTTCGAATCCTACGACCTACAACCTACAACCTGGCCCCTGCCTTGCCGCGAGATCTTCAAACATTCGGATCTCCCTCTCGCGGACAACCGCAGTCAGCTCGTGACGTGTCATTGCGCCCAAAATGCAAATCCACCAGGCCCAACAAGACAACGCGAAACTTGATGACTCATGGGCAAATCCGAAAAGTTCAGAATCGGTCGCCGGAGGGAGGCCCAAGTCTTCGAAGCCAGCGGTCTGGCAAGGGCCGGCTCTTGAGGGGGTCGTCGGGTTGCTCCGATGTCTCACTGCAAAAAAAAATGGTAACGGTGTCTGCAAGATAAAATCAAGAATGCAAAAAATTGCTAAGACTTCACCTCCTGAGTGAATTGGCCAGCAAAAGTCCAAACGTTTATGTACCATCAAGCTGGTCTTCCCAACAAGTTTAAAGTCCAGGAACTCAGGCAGTGAGAAGACAAAAAGTCTGCAGAAGGGTTGATCCGTGGCGAAAACACGCCAAGATGCACCTCGGGAGCCCAACCGCGACGAACCCTGACTAAACCTTGCGCCACACGCCGCGCGCAAGCACGCGGCAGCTTCGTAGCGCATCGGCACGCTCGGCACCTTTGGCCGATCACATCCTGGCCAAAGGCACAAATTGCGGCTGGAGTCATTGGGGTATATGTCAAAATAGGGAGACTCCCAAAATGGTGGTTGTTACTTGACTTCCCTCTAAACCAGCGCTCCGAAGAGCACTCACACAGTTCAATTGCCAGTCTGAAAACCTTTGAAACATGGTGTCATTGTCCAAGAACTATGGATATATTGCTCATTTTTTGGTTACACACTAAAACATGTTCTGCGTAGAAACGTGGGGCAGATCGCTCTCCAGTAGCCGCCCAGTCGCGGGATCTATATTCGATTAATTTGCCCGCTACATAAGTAAACTGTACGCAGCTGGATAGATATTCCATTCAGAAATGAGGTTACAGCCATGGTCTCACCAATGACCATGCTTACATCCTTACGACCTACTGCGTGGTATGGACACACCTCAGCCATCGTAGTAGAAAATCCATGGTTGATTCCCATCCCCTATCAGAGGTTCAACACCAAGGTGGTTGTTTTTTCTAAATGCAACAGGTAAAGTAAAATGCCACTTGTCGTACCACTACCCTCCCCTCCAACAATCAGAAGCTGGCAGGAGGGTTTTGGAAGACTACTCTCCTTTTGTGGAAGCCCACAGAATCCACTTCCGTGATTGTTGGAAATAGGGTACCTTATAGTGATTGCCCAAAGATCAACAAATTGTGGTTGGCGAACTCACGGTTGTTGCCCAAACATACAAATGGTGGTGTCTAAAGGCACCTGATTTTGTGGCTTTAAGGGAAAACAAAAAGGAAAACTGAGCATTTTGGGATTGGGTTTTTCTCTGAATGATTTGAAAGCCCGTCAAGTTCACATATGGGTCTGTCTTTGGTTTTGAGGCTCGGTACCCCCTGTGTTTGGTTGTTTTTCAGGGAAACCACAAGTTGAAAGCCCTTGAAGCCATTTTGGAGGGTCCAACTTTGAGGGCACCCCTTTTTGGCTTGGTTTATAAGTTGAAAATCGAGAACGAGTCCAACCATAAAAAAAGACATGAGCCGGCCCAAATGTCTGCGCTCGCGTATTTAATATGCTAAACAATTTAATGTAAACGATACCCATTGACAACCACACAAGCATCACTCAACCAAAACCTTACCAGGGCCTGTCCTTTTTTGAGGGCCCCCCCTTTGTTTGTTGGTTGTTTTTACTGGGCGCAACCACAGGAAAACCGGGAACGGCCCCATTTCGGAAAGTCCAACCTCAAGAATTCACGAGGCAACCACCACCTCCTTCGACAAACCCAGGCGGTTTCTCTGGGCCTCTCATCGAAGCTCCAAGCTTGGCCGGAGGCTCTCCATGGCGAGGCCGAGCCTCAGGGGATCACCGAGCCCTGCCGTACCAAGATTAAGTCTGGTGATGGATCCGAAATATATATATATATATATTGTATATTATTATATATATATATATATATGTATTAAACATATATATATATATAAACTTCATTTGGGGGAGGGGTGCTGTGACCACAGGTTCCGGTGCATGCATCTGAGGCATGTGCGGCAATGACAGTGCAGTGGGCCTCTCTTGAATGCGCCGCGTGCCTCTCTTGGATAAAAATGCGCGTCTCTCTTTAAAGGTAAAGCATGCTAAATCAATACGTAAATTACCAGACGTTCCAATCTTGGATGCAGCCCCAAATCTCCAAAAGTGCGATCTTAGTGCCGCGTACCTAATCAGACAAACGGGGCCAAGAAATCCAAAGGAGGCGTGCAGGTATATTTTCGCGGCGGGCTAAGGAATTGAAGTATTGGAAGGGAAAGGTTTCCCTCCTTTTTAGCACTCCCTACAAATGTCGTAATCCGCTCGAAACATCACCTTTAGCTGTGAGTTTCTTGAGCAGTAATGTCAAACATGATTGGCACATCCCCAAAATCATGTCCACCCAGGTGTAGTTGAATTTGAATTTCACCCGCATTTCAAAAGCCGATTTCAAGGCTTCAAAAAAAAATACACCCCAAAGTCGTCCCAAAAAAATCGACCCAGCGGTGAATTCGTCGCGAACGGCTCACGTTTTTCCCAGCTAAGTGGAGCTGAATTGCCGCCTTCCGTCGGGTATTGGGCTTATTGGCTTCCTGTGGAAAGATGAGCGAAAGTTTGGCCATCTCCTCTTGGTTCCCTGGGAGATTAGGTCTGGAAAAATGCCCTGTTGATTCCTTATTTATGTAGAAACGTATTTATATATATACATATATATATATATGTACATACATATCGACATTCAGAAGTGTATACCTTCTGTTTGGCGGCCATGGTCTCCAAGTGTCTGCACATTCCTTCCCCCCATCACAGCTTTTGGACCACGCAAGAGCACCAAACACACCATCCCCAATCACCCCGAAACACACCCTGCCAACACAGCCTAAAGCATACCGAAATTGGAGCTCTCTTCTTCTTCTTCTTCTTCTTGTTCTTCTGTTTTTTTGTTTTGGGGGGTAGAAGCAATTCCTACTTGGCTTGGACGTTCTACACACTTGGGTTACAACCATGCGCCATGCACAATTGTCGGCGCCGACCCCCGAGCCAGTTCTACCCTGCTTTCAGGCTGGACAATTCGCACAGGACTTGTCCAGAGTGATACCAACAGAATGACGCAATGTCCATGGGACATGGCAATGGTGTCAAAACAAGTGGAAGCAGCCAACCTCATTCGCACACAGATTTGCAAGGATACACCAAAGTGAACATACTGCAGATGGCACAATTTCCTTCTGCCGGCAAGGGGATGACTAAGCACAAATCGGCTGGACATGTTGATCTACTTTCACCCAAGGTCTCTAAAAGGGGTTTAAGGGAACAACCCCCAAAAGCAAGCTTCAGCGGCCCAACCATAGACTACCAGTCATACTGTGGATGGACGAAATCCTGCAACACTTTGAAACCGTGCACAACGATTGTTTGTTGGTAACATGGAAATCATCTTTCCAGGGTTTGTTAGGTTGTGCGAACTGATTTCGTGAACCGCAGTATTTCAAAGGCTGATTGGACCCCAAATCTAAATGGGGGAGAGACTGACCTCGCAAGGGGCCTTCCATCTAAATCGGGGCACTTTGCCGGCTCCTGCGCGAAGGGGTTGGGGCAAGTGAGCGCCAACAGCAGCAGCAGCGCTGCAGAGGCGCGGCCTCGGACAGAACTCGGCCTCCGCTTCGAACATCAGTCTCGCCCGTGATTTCCAGTAACCCTTGCGGTTTGCATTGGTTTGGATTTGGATTTGAATCAAAGCCTTGCTTTTTATAGAGGGTACATGGGAAATGTCTTCGTTTCATCACCAAACCACCGATTCGGCTCCAACTAGGGAAGTTCTCATTTTATGAGGGTGAAGCTGATGGCGCTGGATTGGATCGGTGAAGGCGCTCGGAACACCAAAGCAAGCTACACCAAGAGGGAAGCTCCAAACCATCAGTTTGAGGGAATCTCCCCCAGTTGTGTGAAAGATGGCATCTGGTCCAACCATTCTGGCGCGAAAAATCGTCCCCATCTGCTTTGACGACGTGAAGGATTCTCTTGCGGCGCCGGTCTTCTGCTTCACGCTTGGAACAGCACCTTGCAAGCTTGGTTGCTGTTGGCCTCCTTGCAAAAAGCCTAACTTTTTGTGAGTCCAATTTGGAAAATCCACTGTTTCCCCAAAGTTGAAGTCCAAAGATCCATTCAAACAGCCATAAAGCAAGCCGCATCTTGAAAGTAGAACCCCAGTGGCTGTCAGCAGCGGGACTAAAGCAAATCATTCCCCTGGGTTTCTGAACGGCGCGAACGGATTTCGCCGTCCGTGCGGGGCCCCGTAGCCTTCTCAACAGGAAGCTCCCAATGCCCAAAAGCTTCCTGAAGAAGCTTCCAGGTCCTTCTCTTAAGGCTGGCAAAAATTATTGGTTGGGGAGAGGTGTTTGGCGGGTGGTATTGCGGATGGACGACCCTCAGCGTGGAGTTTGTCCATCTACAAACTTTGGGGAAATCTAAACAACGACCAAAAGGGAAACTCACGCAGCACCTTGGGGAAAGCCTAAACAACTACCAAGGAGACTAAACAACAACCCGAAAACTTCTTGTTTGCCTGAGATTGTTTTTCAGCTGTAGTGAAAGGAAGTCGCAGCAAAAAATTATCAGATCCTGTTGCTGTGGAAAACCGAGATGATGTAGCGGTGCTGAAAAACCACCCGAGAGACATATGACTGGCTCGTATTTTCTCTGAGTTGGTGCCCCTCAAATTGTGTCTTTTCTAGGAAGGCCAAAAGGAAAACCGAACCATTTTCGGGGGGCACCGTCAACAACAAAAGGACAGACCCACATGAGTAACTGGCCCCGAAAAGCCGCCGATCCGCCCAAAACCCATCGGAGACCTTCGACGGCCGGCCGCCCTGGCCTTGCTGCGGCTGCTTGCTGAGCCCAAAGAGCTCCTCGAGCGGTGACAGGGCCCAAACTACTGTGGAGGGACGAAATCCACTTCGCACCACCTAAGAAACCCTGGAATGATGATCCCCTTTGAATACCAACAAACAATGGTTTCCGCATGGTTTCCAAGTGGTGCAGGATTTTGTCCATCCACAGTATGGAGTGGAGTAACACCAACTCACTTCCGAGCGAGTGGCCAGAAGAAGCAACCAAGAACTTGTGTTGTGTACCACTGAGATGGATCAAACCCAAAAGGCGACTAAAGTCCGAAACGGAACTCGCGGAGAGCCCAAAAAAGGGGCCGGATGTTCAAGCCAAATAGATAAGCATGGTTGTACCGGCGCTAACCCGTATCCCAACTATCCCTGGTATAACTTTCCGGTCGAACGTCCCAAGTTCGCCAGGTTGACTTGGGCTGCCATGGCCCTGTCAATGTTGGAACCAACTTAGAAACGGTTGCTCCTTGAAACACCGTGTGACTGATCAAAATGCGTGCATCTTCCCCATCCCTACTGTCGGTGGTTGCGAAATCCGCTTCTCGCACCACCGTTCCGAAACCATGGTTGACACCATTGCCTGCTGGTATTTGCAGAGGAATTTAATCACCCATATGTTCGTTTGTGTAGCCCCTTTATATACGTTGTTCACTGACCATATTTTTCCTTTTTTCCAACAATCATAGCAGTTGACAAAGGCCTTTGCTTTGTGAGAGGATGGTCGTCTGCCAAAGCCCCTGTCCACTTAGAGTCGTGTCATTTGGCTGTGATGTTTTGATTCGAACCCCTCAATAGGTGGGTGGTGGACATGCATCCCCACCTACATGCTGTCCACCAACTCCCCGATGTTGACCAACGGATTGATTACCTCCTCCTATAAATACAGGGGTCTTCCCCTCCAAAAGTGGTCTGAACCCCTACTAAAAGGGGACACCCCCCTATTCATCAACCAGGGGGCTGTTGATCAGGGGTTCCCACTAATTTACCTCCAGTTGCTTAAGTCCCTGGAAAAACAAATATCAACATATGTCCGGTAGCGCTAGATTCCCTTTGAAACCAACCGGGGGAAATAACAAGTATTCTTGAGCAAATGGAAGTCCTGGATTCCTGTAGTAGATCACCAGGTATTTTTACCTGCAGGCTTTACATGATGGTTTCCCCTGGTTACCTACTATAACGGTAACCGGAAGCACTAGGACTGACTAAAACTCATGCAACCCAAATGATGTCCAAGTCCCTAACGTTGACCGCCCCCTATTAATCAACCAAGAGGGGTATGTATTGATCCGGGGCTCCCATTAACTAAAATCATATCCATTTGGGGGCTGATCTATATTCCTGGCCCCCAAATGAACCATGAGTAACTTTTCCCGTTTAGTGGGAGACGTCGAGTGCTTTTTTTTTACGGACCTTCTGGGAACCTGAATGTGACTGAGGAATCGGTCCTGGCTTCGCCCATCTTCCTTTTGAAGGCACCGGGTCCCGAACGTCAGGTTCCAAGCAAGTTGGTGGGAGGGAAATTCGAGTTCATATCCATTTGCGACGCCCTAAAGCATCGAGGCCCCCCAAACAGTCGCAGTCGGGAGTCAGGAGTCCGGAGTCGGGAGCGGAACCCCCCGCCTTGTGGAGGTGGTCCCAGTGCTCGAGCGGTGCGAGCTGCGGCGCGCCGCTGGTGCGCCTACGGCATCACTTGTTTGCAAAAGTTGGGGGGAGGGGAAGCACTTTGGGTTGCAGTCCAACATTCTCTGGGTTGCGAAATCCAGAAATCGCACCACGCAAAATGAAACCATGGTTGAAACCATTGTTGGTTGGTATTTGCAGGGGAGTCATCATTCCAGAGTTTCTCAGGCGGTGCAGGATTTCGTCCAACCTACTTGGCGGTTGCCCAAACTAATGAAGAAAGACTCGAAGCTCGAACCAAGCTGAAATTTTAATTCAGAGCCCGATACACACAACTTGATGCATACAGCTGGTGTACCGGGGTTGTACCGCAATTTGGAGAACCATGCCCTCTTGACAGAATTTTAACTATGCTTGGGCTACACCACCACTATTTGCAGGTTAGCTGGACACTGATCTTTTGTTTGGCTCCGACTCCCACTTGCCATGGACATCACAAACTCACAAGATCAAAACATGCAACCTGCAAACATTTGCCCCAAGTTGTGTAACAGTCACCATGCCGGTACAAGTCTTATATGAGCTTGTATGGGTTTGTCTCAAAATTGGGGCACCCACAAAATGTGTTTTTCTTTTTTCCCTATCCCCATTCAGAACACCCAAAACAAGCAAGGGTACCAACTCAAAAAAGACGAGCCATATCATGCAACCGAAAATGCGCCCATCGGTCGCATCCTTCCCCAACTCGCTGAGCCGGCTGAGCCACCCCGCCATCCGGAGCCTTGGAACCTGCCGTGAAAGTGGCAAACCCCAATAGAAGAATGCAAAACTAGCAGCGCCGGCGGCGGTTTTCTTGGAAAACCAACCCCTGAACATGTTCGGTGGTTTGGTTTAGCATGTTTAGCGGTAGAAATACTGTGGATGAACGAATTCCTGCGCTACTTTGAAACCATGGTTGGAACCATTGTGTGTTTGAGAAGCGGCGTTTGCAACCATCCTTTCAACCAAACCAAACTCGAAGGGTCGACTGATTCGAAGGACATGAACTCAGGGCACCCAACGGTGCCTCTTTTTTTTTTGGGGGGGGGGTGTCACTTAAAATAGGAATCGGTTTCCCAAAATTGCGCAACTTCGGAGTTCCCATTGGTCTTCCTTTAAAGCAACACAGGCGAGCCTCAAAAAAAGCAGACCTAAATCTTTGCCAAGGCATCTTCTTTGGTCCCTTGTCGCTTGGCACGGATGGACATCTCCCTCGAAGGCCTGTCTGTTTTGTGGAGTTGATTTCCTTTTGTTGCTGGTGTTGCAGGAAAACCAAAAGAAAAGCCACAATTTTCGGGGGTTCCCCAAAAGAAGACACCCCCACACTAGCACCCAGGCTCCCAATATGGAAGTGAGGCCTTTACAAAGCTGGCCTCTTGGAACTGAGGGTATGCACTGGGGCGAATTTCGCAATTGGGAAACTGGGAACCCGAAGTGATGCAGGGCTCAAGATGTTACCAAGTCACCCCATAGGCTTAAGGGAGCCAACCCCGGTTTGACTTTGATAACCAACTGTCAAGATAATCACCCGCGTGTACCACAAGCAAACAGAGAATGGGCAAGATTAGTCCGTGTGTACACCAGGGTGAGATAGAAGGAGGCACAATTCCCTGGGCAAGAAAAGGGGATGACTAAACCCAAATGGGTTGGAGTTCAATTCACCATCTACTGCCCAACTCACATATTCTGCGAAAGTTGCCATACATCCCAAACCTGCAATAAGAATTGGATCCCCTAGTAAAGGACACACATCGTGGTGTCATTTTACCCCCAGCTCACAGGGTGTTGGGATGCATCACTCGAGGGGACACGCCCCCCAGTAGACTTGGGCCACAAACATAGCACCTGAGGGTCCCTTGAAGAAGCTGGTACCCTCAGCTACTGTGGATGGTCACAAATCCACAAAACGCACCAGTTTGGATTGGTGGTCAGTTAGTGTGGGACAGGGGCTGCGTGGATTTTCCAACCAAAACAAAAGTTAAGACCAACTTACTGCTGGCTTCCATTGAAACTGCCCACTTTGGGAGGTTCCCAAGGGAAATGGCTCGGACACCGCGGGCGGCCCCTTCCGAAGCGCCGCGCCTGGCGCTGCAGAGCTCGGTGGCGTCACAGAGCCCGCTCTGCAGGCTCCGGCCCTGCGCCCGCAGCTCGTGGATCTCCTGCGAAAGACCCCTTCGTTCCAAAGGGCGGAAAGAACCAAACGTCCTTTGGGTTACTGGGCTGCCCGTTTTCTGATCCCCCGCTAAAAGTTTTTAAGTTGTGGCGGGTTAAATGGCTAAAAGGCTAAGGGGATGGCTGGGAGCCACCAAGGTTAAGCTTGGCTGTCCGTGCCTGTTGGCGGGCGGCGGGCGGACGGGCGGGCGGGCGGGCGGGCGGGCGGGCGGGCGGGCTGGGTGGGTGGCTGGGTGGGTGGGTGGGTGGGTGGGTATTGGTTTGTGGGTGGGTGTTGGTTGGTGTTGGTTTGTGGGTGGGTGTTGGTTGGTGTTGGTTGGTGTTGGTTGGTGTTGGTTGGTGTCCATTTATATGTCCACATCCAACACAAGAGCTCAGACCAGGGCTAACTGGCTTAAAACATGGTTGAACCCACCCCAAGCGAGCTCGAAAAAAATGGAAAACAAACCTAGGAAAAAGGACTCATGTGCTTGGGCCATGAGCAGGTACAGTACACAACTGCCGACAGGTTTCGGCTCCTGGAGTTTCAGTGGTTTCCCTTGGTGTATTAAAGTACCAACCAAAACGGGGGTCCGTAGACTTCTTGGGGGGCTACACCCCTTCTGTTGACATCTTCGTTGCCTCCTGTCTGCAGTGTTTATAATAATCCTAAAGGCTGGAATGGGAACTGGATCGACATCATGGATTTTTGCTCGGTTTACCCCCAAATAAAAACACACTGCTCTACGCGTTCTATACCGCCCCCTGCAGATTGATATGGAAACCAACGGGGTTCGACCTCTCTTTAAAATGTGTCGCTCACTTCCTGAGTGGATTGGCCAAACAACTCCAAACGGTTTGTCCTGATATGGTCCAAACCCAAAAAGTGGGAAAGGCCACCAGATGGAGAAGTCAGGACCCCCCCCCCCAATATGACAATATCATCGCTAAAATGGGGAGTCCCTCCTGCTGAGTGCGGTCGGATGCATCCGCTGTTAACAATCTAAACAGGCCTGGAAGCTTAAAGAAAGGGACCCTTGGTGGTCAAAAAAAAATAGCTGGGTGAGGATTCATGTCGACCTTTGAGGTGGTTCCAAGGTCAACATTAGACGATCCAACCGTCTACTGTGTTTCCTTCAAACTGGAGCTGCCAACATCCGCACTGGGATACACAGACTCCAAATGTCAACTTCAGATGCCGGACCATATTAATCAGGATTCCTCCGAAATCCCCTTAATTGGTGGCTTGGATTGACGAAACCACATGAGGAAAATACCCCTAACGTCCAAAACACCGGGCTCCAAACCATCAATTAGTGGAAAGCAGACATACTGTGGATGGACGAAACCCTGCACCACCTAAGAAACCCTGATTTCTGATGATTCCTTTGTAAATACCAACAAACCATGGTTTCCCATGGTTTCAAAATGCTGCGAAATGGATTTCGCAACCATCCACAGTAGTTCCGGTGGTTTGTTCCGATGGTGGTGCAGGGTGATTCAGACTCGACTCGACCCGATTCGACTCGCCTGCGCCGCCGCGGCCCAGGGCAGCGGCGCCCGGCTCGGCAGGCGGCACTCTGCGAGGTCCACCTGCCGAACCGTTTTGGCGCTTCGGCGCGTTGCGTGTTGGGGCGGCAGCCTCTCCATACCTCTTGGGCTGGAAGCTTCAGTTCCTCTCCCAAAGTTTGTTTGGTGTCTTTTTTGAGGCAGTACCCGTTTAACGTTTGTGGCTCTCGAGGAAAACCAACAGGAAAACTGATGCCATTTTGCAGGGTCCCCTGAAAAAGACACACCCAGAAAGACCTGTGCTTGTTGTCATGATGTTTGTATGTGTTTTCCCGCATCCCTGAAACCAGGAGAAAAAGGCGAAAGAAAAAAAACAAAACAAAAAACAGGTTTTGAACATGTTTCTCGTCCCAGCTCACTGTGAAAGCCAGCGGACCAACAGTGCGTCGTTGGAAACATGAAGTGTCAGCTTCCCTCTAAATGCTTTGGATTGGCGGTTGGAGTCCCGGTCCAAATCCTAACAACGCCCCCACCGTTGGGCTGACGCCTTCAAAGAAAAAGACGAGCCGCTCCATACCTCCTGGGCTGGAAGCTCCAGTTCTCCCAAAGTTTCTTTGGCTTTCTTTAATCGACGTCTAAACCCTCGGCGCGCTCACCTGGTTGGCCCATGTTGGCCCATGTGGCCCAAAGAGCGGTGTTTGGGGCCCAAAGAGCGGTGTTTGGGGCTCAGATGGACCCTACGAGGCTCGCTCTAAACCCTCTTTGCTCACCCAAGGTTGGGCCATCCAAAGAGCGGCGTCTGGGGCACCGGATGGACCCCCCCTCCCCCTGACTCGACCCCTCGGACCCCTCGGACCCCTGCGCCCCGCCTCCCAGGCGTCGTTCCCGTCGCTGCGCGCGGAGGCGAGGAAGAGGCGCGGGAGGCCCTGGGCCGCCGAGAAGCACACGGACCAAGACACGTAGAGCTGCTCCTGGGTCTGCACCTCGGAGGTCAGGGGAAACAGATATGTGTATATGTATATATAGGACTGGTTCATCTGTTTCTCAGAGAAACCATCGGGTTTCACCAAGACTATCCAAAAAGGTTCTGATGGTTCTGTTGTTGATCTTGCCCAAGAGGACAAAAGGGGAACAAGATATGTGGATATGTGGATATGTTGATATGTATGTATGTATGTATGTATGTATGTATGTATGTATGTATGTATGTATGTATGTATGTATGTATGTATGTATGTATGTATGTATGTATGTATGTATGCATGCATGCATGCATGCATGTATGTATGTATGTATGTATGTATGTATGTATGTGTGTGTGTGTATGGATGGATGGATGTATGTATGTATGCATGTATGTATGTATGTATGGATGGATGTATGTATGTATGTACGTATAGGATTGGTTCATCTGTTTCTTAGAGAAACCCTTGGGAACCCTGCTACTCCCAAAATGGAGAATGGCGGTGCTTCGGATTCCCCAAAACTATTCAAAAAGCGAGGTTCTGATGGTTCTGCGCCTCGGGAAGGGTGAGATCCTCAACATGAACCAAGCTAAATGATGGTTTATAGTTGTCTGTATACGTGCGTAGCTCATGATTCAGAGTCATAAGGGGAGCAACAGAAAGGTCATCGCCCAGGGAATGATTTATAGGTGGGTAAAGTTGCGATGCAAAAGTGCTTGTTTCACACCTCAGGGCAAGGCTGGAGTGCAGTAAGGCCCTGTTGTTTTGCATAGAAGAACGGTGTCAGATAGACAAGTGTGGATGTGTGTGTGTGTCTATTGATGTATTTTAATTGATATCATACGCTTCTGGTTCAGTTGAGGTTCAGTTGATGTTGCATACCCGCAGGGTCAGTCGATGGCTAACATTGGTATCCTACTGCTCCTGATTCCGCACCTCAGGGGAAAAACTGAGATTCTCAAAATGACCCGCTAAATGGTGATTCGTCTTTTGCATGTGGGTAACATCAAAAAATATATTCCAACAGTCATGAAAGTGGGAAGACTACCATCCTTGGAGTCCCTTAAGGGAATCCACGATGGTTTCCACTGCCCCAAACAACTACAACCGAGGGAAAATTCAAGCATACAGCCACTATACTGCACATCATACTTCTAGTTCTGCGCCTCCATCCATTCAAAGATTCCTCAAAATCACCCAAGCTAAATGGTGGTTATGGTTCTATGTATATGTAGAAAAGGGTTGGTATTACACTGCCCCGGAGAACAAAGCAGTTCAGGAGTTGGTTTGATGGCGCGAAAATGCGTCGTGTGTGTGTATAAATGCACACATACATATGCATTTACGCACAAATAATATATGCACGTAAACATGGATATCATACTGCTCTTAAGTCAGTTAGATAGATGTCTAAGGTAGGATGAGGAATAAACTTAAGGTCATTCTGATATAAATCAACATTCTGAAGATTAATCATTGCTGGTTCTTAGAGAAGACAAAATGATTGTGAATGACAGTCCAACCCGACTCATGCACGCACGGCTGACCCTCCGGGCAGCTGACGAGTCATGTTTTACTCTCCAAACCCCACTCACGTGGAACCCACCAAAGGCTCTGTCCCTTTTAGTGGAGCACGGCCTTGGGTAAAACAAAGGAAAATGGGGAAGTGGACCTCTCTGAGCCTCCGATGGCGCCTGTGGAAAATTGCTCCCTGCAGAGAGAACCATCAAAACATCGGAGGCTGAAGACCCCCGTTTCGAAGGATCAAACTGGCCTTAAAGGGCAGCCCCAACCCACCCATCTCCAACTTAAGCCAAGCCCTGCCAAAACCCAATACCATTAAACCACCAAACCTTGACTAACTTGCACCAACCACCACCGCACCATAGCCCAAGGCGCCCCATTCGCCTGGGTCACAGCCTCCGTCCCCACCATGAGGTGCGTGTACCACCGTTGCTGCAGCGGCGCAAAGCGCGGGTCCTGCTCGAAGTCCGGCAGGCAGTTCCTAGGATCCGCGAGACGGGATTTGAAGCCCTGGCTCACCCATACGAATAAATCAAGTAAGCCCCAATTGGTGGTTTGGATTGGATTGGGGATTTGATACCTTCTGGTTCTTGTAGAGGGGTCATCGGAAAACACCCCTGAACCACCAAACCGCCAATCCAAGCCACCACTTCTTTTTCCCAGCCACAACCGCAGCTTCCTTCCAGTTGGTGATTCAGAGCAGGTTCCCCCAAACCACCAATGAGGAGTTGCTTGAAAACTTGTTGGCGGACTTGGCCCAACACCACTTTGAATTGTTGAAATCATTGCTGGTTGGCATTTACAGGGGAATCATCATTCCAGGTTTTCGTAGGGGGTGCGCAATGAATTTCTGGCATCCACAGAATGTTCTGACTCTGTTCCATACTTGTCTACCCTAAAAGCAGGAAAGAAATGTTTCTCCAACAGGCCTGGAGAATTGGAAAAAGATGCACCTGAAACCCACCGGCTGGGCTGGGATGCTGTGAGACAGACAGACAAACAGAAGCACGGACATGCACGCACGCGCGTGCGCACACGAGCACGCGCACGAGCACGCGCACGCGCACGCGCACGCGCACACGCCACGCGCCACGCCCAACGCGCACGCGCACGCCCACGAACCCTCTTGGCTTGATGCTGAAGAGCGCTAGCCGCAGAGGAACAATAGAAGAGCGCTGACCCTGCTAACGCCACCTGGATTCAGAACAACACAGGCAAAAGCAACGTTTCAGGTCCAAACGAACTTCCATTCGCTTGCTTGCTCGTCAGTTTGCTGCAGCGTGATATGTCTCACCAGCCATGCTCATAGGATATGGCATTCTGAACAGGTCCACAACGCTCAGTATCTTGCCTCGTGTGAGAAGTGACTGCTCCCACTTGTTTCTCGAAGCGATGTGGAGCTCACCAAGCAAAAAGAGGCAGTGACAAATCAAGCATGTCACCAACGGAGAAAAGCATACCCTTTTGGGGGGTGAACTGCCAGCTCTTTGCGGAGCATGAAAGTCAGGTGTGGAGATGGCCGACTGAGTCAAGGACTCAGAACTTTCGCCTGAGTTGCCCGGAGAGACTCAAGGCCGCGTCGGCAAAGCAGAGCCGAGCAAGGGGCAAGGCGACAGCTGTAACATTTGGCCCTTCCTCAAGCTTTCATTGCCCTGGCCTTGACAAGAAGATCTGGTGCGGATGTGTCGGGCAAAGTGGCCTTAACACGTGCCGATGTTAGCCGCAGCACCACTGCAAGCTTCTCCTTGAAGCGAGCCTGCTGCCTCTCGCTGACAGGATCGGGCAGAGCCCCGCATGCCGTTGAAGGTCGCGCAATCCATGGCCGCTTCAAACTCCAACTTGAAAGCTGGCAGAAGTCCATCACGTAGATCTTCTTGACTTTTACCTCCTCTCCAAGCACGCCCTGCAGCTTCAGGCTTGGCTTGGCACCACCTCCACCACAGCAAGCTTGGCTTTTGGTGGCACCAGCGGAGGCAGTCCAGCTGGTGGCATCTTCGCTGCAGGAATCCTGGACATCGCCTTTGGCGCGGGTCCATTCTTGGTTTCCACCACCTCCATCTCATCATCTCTTATCATCCCCGCGTGGGCCATACCTGAGGCGCAACGCTGGTTCTGCCAAGCTCCTCAAAGCGCAGGGGGAGGTTACCACAAAGGAAACATCACACCAAGACTCACCGTGTGCCTTCTGACCTCAAGCAACCTCATATCCAATGACCGAGTAGACCAGCTGCTCTGACTGGCTGCTCTGACTGGTTTCCCGCCGCACGCTGTTTCAAATCATGCCAACACAGTGTGTGATTTGATTCTTCCCAGGGGTCGTCAACCTGAAACCTTCACAAAATTTAAGTCGATGAGATGAGGGGAGGGGGGTGCCAGGCAAGAAAGCTCGCTTGAACACTAACACCTTGCCACTTGGCAGAGTCACATCTTGGGTCATATAACTACCGCACACCGCGGCTGGATGCCATTCAGTACCCAAGAAAGTGGTGGAAAGAACATCTTCGCCACCAGTTCTCATCAGCCAAACGGTCGGCCAGTCGAGCTGGCAGTGAGGGCCGCCATGTAACATGGCAGACGCCCTCCATTGTTGCAAAATTCCTGTTGGGTCCAGGGCTGTGCGTCTGTTGCTTTCGCCGGCTACCCGGTTAGAAGCTGGCATTGCGCGAATGTGCTGGACGGCAGAAGCTTGCCCGCAGCACGCAGCGCTGCTGCAAAGATTCAGAAAAGCTTGTTGGCGCAGCCAAATGCCGGGATAGGAGGAAACGTGTAACAGGCAGAAGTTGCTAATGGCATCCCCCATTCAGAAAAGCCTGTGCCGTCTCAATGCTGCAAGGCACATAATGACACCCCAACACCCTGTAAAAGCAAACGCATGCCTAGCACTTGCCAACACCGCCAACTCCGCGCGCTAAGGCGCGCGCTTGCTCCACAAAGTTCGCACAGCCTTGGCTTGGAGCGCGCGCCCACTCACCGGTTGCCCGCACAGTCGTCACCCACACACCACAAGCGCCTCAGATTGACGCAAATTTCAACAGGCTGTCTATTCACCGTGGGAAGGGGCGCCTGATAATGATCGGCTGCGGTTCGGCCCAGCCGTTGCAAAGTGCAAGCAGTAATATCCAACATGTGGACTCGCACTGCTGGCTCGGTACACTGCATCTTCCTGGGGCGACGTCATGCGCAAAGACGTGATGAAGAAAAGGACAATGCAACTCTGAATCAGCCAGCGCGCAATCTCGAAAGTAGTCCGTGGCCCAGTAACTGCAACCGACTCATCGCCTCCTTCGGAAGATGCGGCAACTTTGGTTTCCCTTCCTCTTTTGAAAGGTAGTCTCGTCCTTTTTCATCGGACTGTCGCTCGGATCTTGCTCGGGGTCCTCCTCGCGAGGCTCCACCTCTTTGTCGCCCTTGAGGATCGCCTTTGGCAATTTGCCGCCTGCTGATCAACTATCACTCCGTCCATCAATAGCCTCTTTACCCTTCCGGCTTTTGCCTGTGCCGTTGCCCTTTGCCAGCAGAGAGCGTCGTCGTCTCTTCGCCGCCATACCTGAGAGATCTTTCATCTTGAGCCAAAATGGCCACGTCGCCGTCGCGCAGTTCGAGGTCCTGTGACATCTCCAGGTCTGACTTTCACGCTCCGAAAAGAGCTGGAAGGTTCACGGGGCCGCCTGTGTTTTGCACGCCCTCCAAGAGGGTATGTTTTTCTCCATTGGTGACATGCTTGATGCGTCACTCCTGACTTGTCCAACGTTTTGTTGTACGAACTCATTTTTTCGTCAAGCCAGGTTTAGTGATCGCTTGGCCTAGTAAACCCAGGCGCCCCGTGTTGAAACCAAGACCCCTCGTTTTTCTCACTATCAACATCACCCCAAAAGGTTGGCTCAGAAGAAATGAGCCCTGGGGACTCCGACATTGGATCACCCCGTACAAACAAACCCAGGCCGACAAGTGAGCGCTTCGGGTTCCCCGCGTCCAGAAGCGCCTTCATCCCCATCCAATTCGTCCGAGTGGCTGGATGATGTTCCAGAGCCACCGCCTAAGGCGGGGGTTGGATAGGGGAATGAATCTGCCAAGTTGTGAGTCGTGAGCTGGAACAAAAGCGAGGTCCATTGAAAAGAGCATGGATTTATCTTAGCCAAAAAGAAAAAAACACGCTTCTGCTTGGCTGAAATATGCACAGGCCGGCTGCCAAAATTCAGCCAAACCTGAGCGCGATCCTGTTGTTGCCAGGCATTCTTTTTCACTAGCTCTTCATCCCCAAAAGATGTTGCAGAAACCACCCTGAAACCGACATGTTTTTGGGGGTGTGTTCCGCCAAGCATGGATCCTATGCCGCATGCAGTTGGTACCTAGACCCTCAAGAACTATATACCCAAAAAAGAGGGAATTCACCAACCAGAGTTTTGAGCAAAAACCATGGTTTTGGCAATTTGAGGGTCTGGGGAACCTACCCTGTTCATGGTACGACCTCTGCCAACAAGTCATGGCTTTTTGAACATAGCGCGATGGGCTTGGATGCTCTGCACTTCCTCCCACTCACTTACAAAAAACATGGCCTGGGGAGGCAAAGGGTGCGATGTTTACAGGAAATACTGTGGATGGTTGCGAGATCCATTTCGCAACAACCATTGAGAAACCCTGATTTCTGATGATTCCCCTGTGAATACCAATCAGAACCAACCGTGTCCCACCATGGGTTCATTTCGTGGTGCAAAAATGGACTCTGGGCTTTTGCAGGGCGGATTTGCTACTATAAATAAAGAGCGGGAGCCCTATGAAAGAAACCTTCATCGCGATGTTGCCAAACACTCCCAACGTCGGTGAACAAATATGTGCAGCTGAATGTTCTGAATAGGATATGAGCGGGACACGCGCCAAACAACTGGCTCCATGAAGCGACATCCTCAAAACTACCCTTTGCATGCAAGAAACTTTAAGAACCCCATCAACATGCTCGCTTTGGACCAGAATCAACCAGCCCAGAAAAACCCAAAGCAACCCCCCAAGCCCAACCCCCCAAGCCCAACCCCCCAAGCCCAACCCCCCAAGCCCAACCCCCCAAGCCCCCTCCTCGAACGCCACCCACCCCACCCCACCCCCCCACCCCAGCCCCACCCCCGCCTGCCGGGCTTCAGCGGTTGCACCACCGCGCTGGTGCCCGGCGTCAGCAGCAGCCGCGCCTGGCCGAAGGCCACCTCCCGCTGCCAGGCGCTGGGCTCGCGCAGCAGCAGCTCCCGGCCCAGCCACAGCTCCTGTTAGAAGGTTGGGCTGTGGGGTTGGAAGGTTGGGTGGGTTGGGTTGGGCGTTGGGGGTGGGGGTTGGGTTGGGGGAGGTTGGGGGTGGGGTTGGGGGAGGTTGGGCGTTGGGTTGGGGGTGGGGTTGAGGGGTTGAGGGGTTGAGGGGGGGAGTTTGGGGGGGGGTTGGAAGGTTGGGGGGTGGAGGGGCGCGTGTTGGCCAACCACGCAAAGCACTGAACGCAAAGCAAACAAAACAATAGAGCCAAAACCCCGAAAAGGCGTGGCAAGAGCAGCAAAGAATGAGCCACCAAGGAAACAGAAAGATGAAACTGGAAAAAGACGGAAACAAGTGACAAGACAGAAACTGAGGCCAAAAAACAACATGCAACGTGGAGATCACCATGGAAGGAGTGTATCTTGCAATTGAGATACTTGCCACTATGTTTATAGGGAAACCTTTGTAGGCCTTAAGCCTCACGGCTTGAGTGAACCTTCTGCGAAGGTGCTGGGATCTAAGAGTTCTAAACATAGGTGTCCTTTTGGGAAATACATGGGCCTGGTAGATTGTGAAACAACCAGGTCAACCAGGGCCATCTGTTTCCAACCAAACTATCCTACAAAGGACACCTATGGCAATTCCCAGTAGCAACCCCTTTTGCACCCTTCCGGTACCCGAAAACGCCAGGAGCCGCTACGAAACGCTCCAGAGCATACCTGGACGAAAACCCGAAAGCTTTCAGCTGTTTGTGGAAAACAGGGTCATGTTGACCCCGCATTGATAAGCCTGTCCTAGTAAAAGGGGGAGTGTTGGCCGCAAACATGATCCGGAATCCCACTAAAAGGGTGTGAATCAATCAGGGGCCTCCATTTGTTGAAGTCCCCTCGCAGCTTCCCCTCTAAACCAGGGGCCGACAAAACCTCGTCTTAAGCAAATGGAAGGGGGGGGGGCGTATTTTTTCGTCCAGGGATCACACCCTCCGCCTGGCGGACCCCCAAGCGGCACGCCTTGAAGCCTCCAGTCTTCGGTGCCCGCGCCAAAGCGCTGGGGGGCCTGGCAAGTCGGGTGCCTTGGATGTTCCATCCATTTCTCAGCTGCCCAGGTCGGAACATGAGGTGTCTGGGGGTGTTTGGGGGCGTTTGGACCCTAAAAAAGTGAGAGCTGCCCAGGTCGGACCATGTGTCTGGGGGTGTTTGGGGGCGTTTGGACCCTAAAAAAGTGAGAGCCTTTTGGGGCCAGGACTAAAAGTAGACCAAAGAGGAAACCAACAGGTCAAAAGTTGATACGCTTTGCTATAAGTGAGATTTAGTACTGGGCGAAATCCAGTTCGCGGCACTTTGAAACCATGGTTGAAACCATTGTTTGTTGGTATTTCCACGGAAATCCTCAGAAACCAGGGCTTAGCTTGTGCAGGGTTTCGTCATCCACAGTACCTTTTGCGACCTCCAGGCATGGGCCCAAACAGGAAAACCAAAAGGTCGCAACTGCATGGTTATAACCTGTGGGTTGAACATCTCAGAACTGCATGGCCATGCTCAAAAAGAACGACCCGAACGGGTTCCATTTCTCGACTATTTCAAGGTAGACTTAAACCCACTGTTGCTGCTGGGAAAATCGACTGGGTTCTAGTCTACCTTGAGGTGAAAGTAGATAGCCATTTGCATTAAGTCATCCCCTTTACCCAAAGGGAATTGCGCCTACTTTCAGTCTGGCGAGGGAAACTGCAAGAAACAGCGCACCTGATTCTCTGTCCTTGTGTTGTGGTCATCTCGCAGCTTAATTTGGAACCAACAAAAAATGATTTGTGGAGGAAGCCCCTTTTTGCCCCCCCCCCCCTCCCGCTCCCCCCCTCCCCGTTTTGGGTTCCACGTTAATTTGTAGAGATGAGCCATGGTCAAAACTCCTTTTACATGATCGTGGTTCCCCTAAAGGAATGGTTACTAAGGATCCTTACTACGAGGCGGATGACCGTCCCTGTTGACCCTAAGTAAAGGTGTCGTTTGCATGGCACATATAAATTGGTGTCTCGGAGGTGTTCCATAGCGTTCCCTTCGCGCATTTCCGGGCTGCGGTCTTCCACCGGCTGAGGGGCAACCCCGATGGCCAACCCAGTCCCATTTGGGCGTCCTTTCTTGTTGGTTGAAGCACAGTGGCTGAGTTGTGCTTGGGTATTTTGGGGGGTCTTTTTGGAGGGTGCCCCTTTTTGTGGCTTTGAAAGAAAACCAAAACAAAAGGAAAACCAAAAGCAAAACCAACGGCCACGCTTGCAAGAAAGCCCGGCTCCCCGCGCAAGCAGAGGCCGGCCATTTTGGGAGGGTCGGATTTCTAAAAACGGAGACACCCACTTGGCTTGGGAAGGTCTCTTTGGGTACAGCTGGAAAATCCGGCTATGTCGGTCCCATTCGAGAAGGACTTTTTACTTGGAGAACATGTGTTGGAGTTGATTGAAAGGGCATCCAACGGGAAACTGCACGTTTAAAGGTCTGCCACGAGGATCGAGTGCCAGGAGTAGGGTTGGAAGGACTTGTACTCCGAGTCCACCGCTATTCTTCCGTCGTCCTTGCAGATCTCTGTCCAAAAGGTGGGGACACCTGTGTCGTCCATTCAGGCGTTGAATGGCCCAAGAATGTTGCACCCATTTACGCACTCGCGAAACGCGCCGCTTGAAAATCTTCCGCCCAGGTCCCACCTCCTCGCCCCGCTGCCCATCTACCGAAACTTCCTGCCGTGTCCATTAGTGTGAACTTCGAGAACCCCAGTAGTCAAAGGAAGTTCCAAACATCGATATCATTGCTTTGCTAAAACAGGCACCACTCCATAGAACGGTCCTCACTGATCCGAAGCTAACATTGTTTTGGGTGTGTAGGGCTCGAAGTTGCAGTCACTTTCCTACCTCTTGCTAGGGTAACTGTGATCACCCGTTGAATTCTTCTCCAAGCTGTCGAATCCTTGGCTTTAAAGGCAATGGTGGGGGCCATGTTGGTCCAAAGTAAGCACACAACACCCATGGACTATTGGTTCTACTATGGTGGCTAAGGTTCATATAGGTCTTACCCCTGTGAAACAAGGTAGTTGGTAGAACCCCCGCGCTAAAATGGCAAGTGTGGGTTTTGGCCAGCTCGAGTGAGAAAGCTGCCCCAAATGCTGGGCATAGACCCCATAGCTTTCAATTGCCACCAGACCACAGGCATTTTGTCTGCGTCTCCTTTTGGGCCCCTAGTGGTGTCCCTCCTAGCAACCAAATGGCAACCACCAGCCAGTTAGATCCAACCAGCTAGCGCTCGAAGCCGTCGCTTCGACGCCTGGCGCCCATGGCGCAGAGGTGCACGAAGCGCCAGATCCCCGCGAGGGAGCAGCTCTGCAGTTGGCGCGGCCAGCGGCTGGCCATCTCCAGGGCGGTCAAAGTGAAGCCGTCCAGGAAGCAGAGCACCTGCTTTGCAAATCAGGGAGAAGGGGAGGGGGGGAGGCTTAAGGGGGAGGGTTTGAGAAGGAGGGTGACGAGGGGGGGCGTCTTGGGGCAGCACCTGCCGGAACATCAGGGAGGGGGTCCTTTGGGTTGCTGCCTGCCGGAACATCAGGGAGGGGGGGGTGGGGGGAACACGGGGGGAGGGTTTAAGAAGGAGGGTTTGAGGGGGGGGGTTCCCAAAAAATGGGGAGGAAGGGTTTTGAGGGGGCAAAGCACCTGTCGGAAATCTTCCTTTGGGTTGCTGAGGGGTTACTAGGCTTGGGGTGGTTTGATTTTTCACTTTGAGGAAGCAAAGTACCTGCGCAAAAGGGGGGAGCTTTTAGGTTCCTTCACAACCGTAGCCCCGGAAAACCCCTTGGTTTCGCCCAGAACCGCCTTCTAGATCCAAGGAATGAAAGGGTTCTTAGGCTTCATTTGGGTTTCCGAATCTTCGTGTGCTTTCCCTTTCAAGCCCGGAAATCGGAAATGGCCTTAATAAGTTCCATGTGCTTCCTTCACAAGGTGCTTCCAACCAAACCTGTTTCTTCACCTCCACTTCCACTTCACCCACCCTTTGGCTCGTGAGCAATAGAAACCTGGTTACTCTTTGACCATGGAGAAATCATAAGAATCTATTTATTACTATTATTATTATTTTTTCAAAAAAAAAAAAGTCGGAAAACGCTCAGTTTCCCCACCAGCGTCTTACACCCAAAGCTCGGTCCGCTTTGCGAAGCACGGGGGACCACCCATCGGCCCATGGGCCTCGCTGAGCAAGCCCTCCGCGTAGTCCAGGAACCACTTCCACATCGAGGGCTCACCTCAGTTGGCGGCCGAGCCACGACGACCCCCCGACTGTGGATGAACGAAATCTATTTCGCACCACCTCAGAAACCCTGGAATGATGAAAGGGAGTATCATGTTTCTGAATGCTGTAGGCCCCTCGTTTTGACATGACCCCATCATTTCGCCAAAGTCACCAAGAAAAGGCCCGCAGTTTCTGACTTTGATCACGTGAAACGGAGAAACAACTCGCAGGCCCAAAAGAACAAGACCCGCGCCTGACATTAGCCATCTGCTTGTGTTCCCAAGCCGCTCGCGGGCGCTGCTTCGAATCTTGCCCCGCTGAAGGAAGATCCTTCAGATCTAATTTAAGAGTAGCTCTGTTGCGCGCGCATTCCCGTTCTCCTCCATGCGGTCAGAATCCCGCGTTTCCCTTCCCCCATCTTTCTATAAGTAGCCCACCGGTTCCAGGGCTTTGGTTGCGAAGGATCGTTGTACTAGCCGAAATTGGATATGGAACTCCACCAATTTTGCTTTGTCCAAAACGGGAACCGTTTTGACACATCTTCAACGTCACCTGTGAAAGCCCATGCACGCTGAGCTTGGGTAGACATGACTCGGCTTGGGACTTTGTGCAGCCACAAAGACAACCCAGAAGTAGACCAGCGCCCCGCCACTTTGCGATCCAGGCGCGTCGGGCAAAGCTTTCGGCCGCCATCCCCGACACCTTCGGCGCAGCCGAAGCCGCCGGCAATCCGCGTTCCGCCGAAACCGCCGGACTGACGAGGGCCTCGGAACACCGCGAGACCAACGGAAGGGCCAAAACACACATTTGGGTGTGTCGTTTTGGGTAGGTGTTGGGGGTCCCCTAAGAAAGACATTCCCAAATCAGATGGGGTTGTGTCAAAATAACTGGCCGGTCCCCTCAAAACGGACGCACCCGTTTGTAACAGCCGCCTTGGGGCTGAGAAGGAAACCCCGCTTCCACCCATGCTAATGCTGAGGGGCTCATGCCCCCGAAAGAAGCCGCCACTCAGAAAACAAGGCGTTTACCGGTCCCTTTAAAATCAGTTTCGCGACAAGTCGGGTTTTGTAACCTTCAAGTTTGGGGCATCCCGCAACAGAATTTCAGATGAGATCTATTCAAAGCCCCCCCATTTCCCCACAAACCTTCTGTCCAAGACGAATCCACAGTTTAGGCGGCATCTTTCCAAGTTATGCAGTCTATCAGGGTTCATGTTTCCCCTAACACATCACCCCTAACAAAAGAATGTCACGGGACCGTCTGCTCCGGTTGCCCGGGCTTTGATGACGGCTCATCTCTTTTGCACGATGCGGCCATGTCCAGCTTGGTTGCGATCCGTCCCTTAAACCCATCCAGTCACTTTTCCCCCACCATGAACCAACAAGCCCATCCCAAGCAAAATGGCCGCACCTCTCGTTCTCCTTCCAAACACCAACCAAAAAGAAGCAACATGCAAGTAGGTTATAGAAAGTCAAAGGGATGGCATTCTATGTTTAATTGCCCATCATCTGTGTTTGTTGTGTTTGTTTATATATATATATATATATTTATATTTATTTCTCTTTTATTTCCGTAGTAGAAATCCAGGGTTAGGTGGCGAGATGATGCAAGCTCCCAGTCCAAATGCTTTCATTCGCTTTATCTTCATTCACAGACTCATCCAAGCATTTCAAAACCCAACAAATAACCTCAGTTCTTAAGGCAGTTATAGGTGAGTCGTGTGGATGAAGAAGACATTTGGGGAAGGAATAGATACAAAATAAATAATTTGTATCTTTTCATATCTCTCCCTTTATTCCCGTTATATCTCCGGGTTATCTCGTCAATAGCGGATCATCCAAGCGATGCAAGGGAATGAACGAAGAGAATTATGGACCCAAAAAGTGGTTGAAGTCCAACTCAGGAAGTGAGGAAGAGATCGTATCCCCATTTGAGTCATAATCAAGACCCAGGGTACTAAAATGCTTACAAGTTTCGATCTACAAGGGCCCCAAAAGTTGAACAAACGAACAAGCGAGGATACGGAGGGAGCGGGGGTATGGGGGATTCCCTTGGCGCCATTTCCCATATCAAACTTAGTCAAGGTGCATTTACGGGGAATCCGCCCGTATCCCTGGTTTTCTCTGTATCCAGTTGGTTTCCCTGACAAAAGGCACTCGAGGCGAAGAAGCCAACACTCTGCCCGCGCCTGGGCCAGGGCCTCCCGCTGCTCCAAGAGCAGCAGCTGCTCGCGCTCCGCCTCCCGCGCCCGCTGCAGCCGCTGCTCCTCGCGTGGTTGGTTTTGGGGGCGCTCGCAGTGCGAGCAGCCCCATTTTTTGAAGCCACAAAGGTCGTTCCAGAACTGGAGGCATCTATATCGTTTTCGTCCAAACAAGGGAGTTGTAACCCAACTAAGCTGCTGCCCTCGTTTGACGCAAGAAATCCCCGCGCCAGGAGGGTACCCAGGCGCAAAACCGGTGGTCAGTCTAGGGAGGATACTAGAATTGACAACATCATCAGCCCTACCAGCATCATCACCAGCATTGCCACCAGCAGTGCCAGCATCATCGACACCATTAACATCATCCACATCATCAGCATCATCAGCATCATCAGCACCATCAACATCATCAGCACCATCAACATCATCAGCATCATCAGCATCATCAACATTATTAGCATTATATCATCAGCATCATCAGTATCGTCGGCATCATCGGCATCATCGACATCATCGACATCACCAGCTATGCAAGCACAGCCAGCCACCAGCATTACCGGCAGCGCAAGCAAGCAGCTAGCAGCATCAACATCATCAGCATCATCAGCATCATCAGCATCAGTGTCAATCAGCTTAGCCAGCATCATCACCAGCACTACCAGCATCATCACTATCATCAGCATCATCAACATCATCAGCATTACAAGCACAGCCAGCAGCATTTCCAGCAGTCCGCATTTCCAGCACTCTACTGTTCTCTTGGCTTTAGGGACACTCAAGTCCTCAAGCCGCTTCTCTCCGAGCGCGCTCAGCAGTTCGAGCCGCTTCTCCTCTTGCCTCGTCGGATTTGAGGCCCGTCAAAGGAACTTCCGTTCCAAGTGAATATTCTACCTAGGAAGAATCTAAGGTTCCCCCATTGGGCATGAAACCAAACTCAAGCATTGTCAGATGGGTCTCATAGGGGTAAGTGGACGTAAAGAAACTTCACAGACCACAAGAGTCCTCGCAGGTGCGTCAACATGAAGTTCTCCTCCACATTTTGAAAAATTCGCACGATCTTCGGCAAAGTCAGTCCACATGCTTGCCGTTCGGAAAGCGCGGCTTGAAATCTATAAGTGAGATAATAACCATGAATACTGGGCAAGATAATCAACCCTATTAAAGATGGCCAAATGACCTCGAGTCCGAAGGCCAACCGAGACGTTAGCTTGCACCCCAGACCAGCGGATGATGGAAGTTTAGATCGGCTTTCCAACAGGGTGAATGTTGGTGGTGAGTGGGGTCCTTCCAGAGGCTGCCTAACACCCAGTTGCCCAGTGACCCTGGCAGAAAAAGGGAACTTTGACTCTTTCTGGGGTTGACCCGTAAGCAACAAGAAGGGGTCAACGGGGAATACCATCCAACAGGTGTCCCACGTGTTGACACATTCCCAGGGTCACTCTCCCTGCGTAGGTCTTATGGTACAAGCGTTCGCCTTGGGGCGGCTTTTGAAGGGGTCGACCGCGACAAGGCCAAGTGAGTGAAGCGTAAATGACAACGGCACAAATGGGTGTTAAACCAGGTACCCTCAGATTGGTTGGGGTCTCTTTTGTCCTTTGCTGAGCCACCCAAAAAATATATGACATGCATCCCCCACCATGAATCAGGATCTGTCCTAGTGACTGGGGTGGATTCCTTTCGACCCTTTTCTGAGGCCAACCAAAAGTCCTCTACATCCCATGGGCGTGTGAAACCTGGACGATTTGCACGTGTTCCCAACAGCTGAAAGCTATGGGGTCTCTGCCCAAATAGGCTTGTTCGGTGGTTTGGGGCAGCTTTGAGGGTTCGGTTCCGGGGTGCCGCCTCTGTGGGTGGATGACAAGCTCTAGCCCCAAAGCTTCTTGACCGCACAAGTGATAGCGGCCAAGGACCGTTGAACCTTCAAAACGAGGTTGCTTCAAACATCCACATCTAGAAAGCCCGGGCCCCCTCCAAACACCCGCAAACTCCAGGGTTCCGGGCGCGCGCCGCAACTTCTCCTCACCAAAAGCCAAAAGCAACAACTCAACATGGCCTTTCGGCACAAGGGTCGCGCCAAAAAAAAAGGGAGTGACGACAGCGGGGACTAAGCCACTAAGCATTGTGCCAACCATGGCGGATGTCCCGCGAGGAAGTCTTGAACTCACATACCTCGGTTCCAAATCCGCTCCGAGCTATGCCCAAAACTCGAAAACGTTAGCTCCGAATCGCTTTTTAGCTTGCTTCGGAGACCCCATAGCTTTCGGCAGTTGGGGAAAAAGTACAGGGAGATTGTTGCCATTTTGGGTGTTCCCTCATGTGCCCGAATGGAATCGGTCTGATTGTTATTTCCCTTCACGTGCCATCCGAAATGGGTTACTATTTGTTTCCTGCCGTGCCAAATGCCAGGACTTGCGCCTTTCGCCTTAAGTGTTGACAGCGATGGGTGAGTGGCTACCATCTTTGCAATGGAAGTGGACAGGGGGCTCATCCAGCCATCAAAACTCCCTACGCCCGTAACATAGGTCCCCGGGCAAGAGCCTACCTCACGTAGAAAGGGTGGTTTCTCCAATCGCATACTGCGCGGGTGCTCGTTGCCCTTTGGCATGCGAATCCGGAATCCGGTTCTCTCGACCTGGCTCTTTCTCTTCCTTCTATTGGAGGGGGGGATAATATCAGCCAGACATTTTCCCCTCAGCTCGCCTAAAAGGGATAAAGTGGAAAACGGTTCCCACCATATACAGATGAATCAGATTTGGCGGGAAATGTTGGCTATGATGGCATAATTTGGTCATTTCAAAGATGCCATCAATACGAAACCCCTCAGACAAATTTCCCCTCAGCTTCTTCCATTGGAGGGGCAGCCAGACATTTTCCCCTCAGCCCACCCAAAAAGACAGACATTTTCCCATCAGCTCGCCTAAAAAGACCGACATGTTCTCCTCGGCCAGACATTTTCCCATCGCCCAAGAGGGACAACCCACGTTGCTAGGCAAAGCCCCGCGGCATGTCCTGCAGCCCGTGGTCCCGCAGCACTCCCTCCACCGCATCGCAGGCCGCCCGGCAGGTGGCCAGGCGCTGGTCCCCCTGCCGGCCTGCGCGGGGAAGAACCCCACGCCCGGTGCAGTCGTATGCGTGTGTGTAGTACATATATGTATATAGCAATATATATATATATATATATATATATGTTCCAGGCCGTGGACCCCCCCCCCCCCGGGGGGGGGGGGGGGGGGGGGGGGGGGGGGGGGGGGGGGGGGGGGGGGGGGGGGGGGGGGGGGGGGGGGGGGGGGGGGGGGGGGGGGGGGGGGGGGGGGGGGGGGGGGGGGGTGGGGGGGTGGTGGGGGGGGGGGGGGGGGGGGGGGGGGGGGGGGGGGGGGGGGGGGGGGGGGGGGGGGGGGGGGGGGGGGGGGGGGGGGGGGGGGGGGGGGGGGGGGGGGGGGGGGGGGGGGGGGGGGGGGGGGGGGGGGGGGGGGGGGTGGTGGGGTGGTTGGGTGGTTGGGGTGTGGTTCGGAGTTGGTTGAGGCTTGGTGGGTTGGTTTAGGGTTGGTTCAGGGTTGGTTCAGGGTTGGTTTTGGTTTGCGGTGGGTTTCGGGTGGGTTTGGGGTTTGGGTTGATTTAGGCTTAGGGTTGGGGTTAAAGGGTGGTTTGGTTTAGGGTAGGATGTTGCGAGAGGTGCGGGGGTGTTGGTTCACGGGGTGAAAGGGGGTCTGGGACCGAAGCTGCAGGGCTCGCACGGTACTGGACAGCATCCCCAGCATTGCCAGCATCATCCCCAAGATGCGGATGATGCGGGGGAGTGGGGGGACCATACCATTGGGGGGGGGGGGGGGTACGTGGCCCAGGGACTGGTACATATATATATATATATACAGCATGTATATATGTATATATATATACACGTATGCATTTATTTATGATATAGAAACAACGAAGGAAAGAAAGAAAGAAAGAAAGAAAGAAAGAAAGAAAGAAAGAAAGTAAGACAGAAAGTAAGAAAGAAAGTAAGAAAGTAAGAAAGCCTCAATGGGCTCAATTCGCAGGGGCTCGGGCTCCAAGATTGAATCAACAGTTCCTTCGCCACAATATGAGCTACCGGCTAACCACTAATTGTTGTTGTTCTCTGTGGTAGTCTCGCTGCTGTCTTGCAGCCATTCTCTAGTCTGCATGCGGGAAGGCAGGACATGCAGTTTCTTTCCAACCGCGAAATGAACAAGCAGAATCCGGTTTTTGGGTGAGTGGGCAGGGCGTTCCCGACCCTCAACCCACTTGTTGCTTCACTTTTAGCCTTTGCATCCATTTGCTTTGCGGCATTCTATTCACCCAAAATGTGTGGCTTCCAAGCAAAGCCACGCGCGCACGCAAACACACAACAAACGCATACCTGGACCTTCCGGGGGTCAAAATTTTAGATTTTGGCAGAACAAACACATGCTTTTCACAATAATGCTTGTTGGGCGAAACAAAACGCGGGCGGTCACATTTGTTTGCGCCGCGGTCGGGAAGTTTCGCCTGTGGCTTCGGGGAGGTTGCGCATTGAACAAAAAAGGCCGCAGGCTGTTGCCCCAAAAAACCTACCACGCAAAAACCGCCCCACGAAATTGCCAAAGAGTTCCCATTTACTGCCATTTACCCTCTTCAAGAACCTGGGGCTCAAATCCCGACCAATCCAAACCAAGGAACGCAAACTCCGCCAAACCACGGCCCCAGCCGAAACTCGCCCTGCCTGCTGACAAGCGCAGGGCCTCCAAAACGGCCCGCAGCCGCGCCACGCGGTCGCAGGTGCCGAAGACCTTCACCAGGGCGCCGCGGGCCTCGCGCAAGGACCTGGCGTTGAGCCGACGTTTGTTGAACAGCCGGGGCCCCTCAAAATCCGAGAGCAGCGAAATCTATTTCGCCCGACTTGGGATAGATGAAACCCCACAAATCACGGGATAAACCATCTACCTGCAAGATTTCGTCCACCCAAAGTACGTGTCCACCATGCGTCCCCCCCCCCCCACGCCCCCTCCCCCCCACGCCCCCTCCCCCCTCCAACCCCCCTCCAACCCCCCTCCAACCCCCCTCCAACCCCCCTCCAACCCCCCTCCAACCCCCCTCCAACCCCCCTCCAACCCCCCTCCAACCCCCCACGCCCCTCCCACCCGGCACACCACATCCCCTTGCAGCGCCTCATGAGGAGATCCCTCGCCCCGCCCAGCAGCGCCAGCAGATGCAGCTCCGCGCGCCGCAGGTGCACCGCGTGGCGCTGCGACAGCTCCACCTGACGGGTGGGCCCTCAAAGCCATGGGTCGCAACCTGCTCAAGTGGGTTGAACACCTGGCTGTGGATGGTAACCCCAAAATGGCTTGCCCATGGTAAATGGAAACATGGACTAAAGCCTGCGGTGCCCTGGTGGTTTAGTTTTGACCCATACCCACCTAGGGCGCGAAGGGGGGTCGAAAGGCAAGGGTGTCCCAAGCAAGACCCACCGTTGGGATGTTGCAAAAGCCGTTTCGCGTCAATTGGGATTGGTGGTTCCCAGTATTCGTAGAAAATCCTGCATCCCAGCTGGAGCGGGAAGTTGGCCATAGGAAGAATCGGGCGCTGTCCAAAACACTTGCTTGGCAGAATGATGGGATGACCCCCAGCCATCCCTTGCAGCCGTCAGGGAATTTGCCTTTAGCTATCCTTACAGCGAGGCGGATTTGACGGGCAAAAATCGATGGCGAGGCTGTGGCGTCAACTTTCGGCGATGGTCTGGAGGATGATCATTGAGGTGGGTTTGGGATCTAAACCTGACTTCCATTTGATTAGTCCCCTGGAATATATATATATATATTATTATTATTATTATTATTATTATTATTATTATTATTATTATTATTATTATTATTATTATTATTATTATTATTATTATTATTATTATTATTATTATTATTATTATTATTATTATTATTATTATTATTATTATTATTATTATTATTATTATTATTATTATTATTATTATTATTATTATTATTATTATTATTATTATTATTATTATTATTATTATTATTATTATTATTATTATTATTATTATTATTATTATTATTATTATTATTATTATTATATTATTATTATTATTATTATTATTATTATTATTTATTATTATTATTATTATTATTATTATTATTATTATTATTATTATTATTATTATTATTATTATTATTATATATAATAATATATATATATATATATATATCCACCAGCGCTAGATTCCCTTTAAAACCAACAGGTGAAAATAAACATGTTCTTAAGCAAATGGAAGCTGAAATGGGGTTGCGGGAATCTGTAAGACTACGTGTAGCCACTATTTCAGGAGTAACCTGTTCGCCCCTGATGTTAACCAGGGACAGGATGATTGTTCCATCACAATCCCTGCTTGTTTTCTTTCCAGCTTGTCAGGTTCCTTTCCTGATGCCCGGGACTCTTGGTGTGGGGTGCAAACAAGTCCCAACCTCGGTGTGAAATTTAATTGGTGCATTCATGTCCACCAACCGCTTGGGAGGGTGAAGACACCTCCATTGAAATTCATGGCAAAAGGGGTGTGTCATGCAAAATGAATGGGGTTCCTCGAAACAAATCTTATGTTGTTTGGAGAACCCGCATAGAGTGTTTGTATATCCCATTAAAAGCTCTTGGTAGTTTTGTTGGCAGCTTCCCCCCCCCCCACCCCGCCCCACGCCAGAAGCCCGAACCCCAGAGTGATTGTCTATCCCACCCCTTAAGCCCCCCCCCCTTAAGCCGCCCCTTAAGCCCCCCCTCAACCACCCCTTAAGCTCCCCTCTTCGCCATGAAATGCCCCTGGCGGCTTCGCTTGGAACCAAGAAGGCCGGGTCCGTCCGCTGGCGCCTGCATGAGGGAGGCCTCCAGATGCTCGGCGAGCTCATCGAAGAGCTCGCCAGACACCGCCTCCAGTCGAACCGAGAAGTCGCTTCATGGCAATGTGCTACGTCGCTTGGACAGGACCATTCCTTTCCCTCAAAACTGCTGCAAAACTGCGGCAAAACTGGACGGCCTCCAGGCAACCAGTCAATAGATCGTGCTTGACGTCAAAAGGAAAACCGTTACCCCATTTTGGGGGGGGGGGGTGTTTTTTGCCCTTTTTCTTTCGTTTCCCTTTAAAACAACCACAAAACCAGTACCCTCAAACAAAAGACAGCCCCATCAAAGGGCCGTGTGTGTTTGTTTGTGCTTTTGAGGCTCGGCACCTTGCACCTTGGCACGAAAACCCAGTGGTTGGCTGGGCTGAAGTCCAACCCCGGGTAACGACTGTTCAGCTTCCCACGAAGACAAGGAGTGGCCATAAGGGTGCGTCGATGGGGGCCCTCCAAAATGGTGGATGTCCTTTTGGTGTCCCTTTGAAACCATAAAAAGGGCTTTCAGGAAAACCACCTCAAACATCGTCAGGTAGAGGGTTAGGAGCTGTTTAATTCAATGGCTCCGAAGCTTGGTTGGAACACCCTCCCAACTGGTTAGACTTGTCGGTATCCCCCTTCAAAGACGGCTCGGCCATATCTCGGAAACTGAGAAACCCACTCCAGGTGTCCAAAATGGAAAAAAAAGTTTTGGCTTTGCCTGGATCATGAAAACAACCAGGAATCTCCATCTATTCTCGACCAAACTAAAATGCACACCTGGTGTGGATGGACGAAATCCAGCACCACGATGAAACTGGGGAAACCATTGTTTGTTTACAGGGGAGTCATCATTCCAGCGTTTCTTGGGTGCTGCGAAATGGATTTTGTCCATCCACTGGATGTGCGCCACCCTCTGTGCGCCATCCTCTTCTCTTCTTTTCTCTTCGGATTGCCTGCGCAGAGGCTGCCAGGGAGTCCGAGATGCTGCGGCGGGCGGGTCCCGGTGCCTGGGCGAAAAAAATCGGGTCGTGCGAGACAGCCATAAAGTGAGGCGTGGGCAAAATATGCGTGTGTGCCATGGTCCCAAATTTTGGCAATGGACATTGAGTCGCAAAATGTGTCTTGGAGTTGGAGCCTTTGGTAGATATCATTTGCAGCGGGGATTCTGTCCGTCAGCGTTGTTGAGCGTGTTCCCCAAAACTCGTGGCCAAATGCTGTTCACGTCATGGACAAATTCGACGGCCCCAGTCAAGCCTCAAATCCAATTCTCCAACCCGTATGTTAGCAAGAATCGTTGTTCTTTGCAGCCCCTACTAAGAATGGACAGAACTAACCATGAAACCAAAGAACAAACAAAAACCTGACAAGAACGGAGCCAACCGCCCTGCTCGCCTGCGGAGCAGCCACGGATTCCGGCAAGCTGCGGGGCGCCTGCGGCATGGTGGGGGGGGGGGGTTTTCTAGAGGCCCCCCAAAATTGCGTTCCTTTTGGTTCCCCTTCACATCCACACAACTGCCATTCGTGATCCAGGTCACATTCCCCCCCCGCCCTATCACTAGCCCCAGACCCTGCCCCACCTAAACCAACTCTAAATGGACCCGAAAACTCTACATCACCTCAACCCGCCTGAACCAACCCCAACCCCCCCCCCCCAAACCGACTGAACCCACCTAAGTCCTAGCCAAAAAGCAACCCACCTAAACCAGCCATGACTATACCAACCTAGACAGGCAAAAACCAACCCTAACTTGACCAACTGCCTAAACCAGCCATGAACCAACCCTAAAACCAATCCAGCCCGTAACCCAACCCGAAAGCAGCCAAACCCTTTTTGTCAACAAACCAGTGATGTGCGACACCCGCTTCCCTTCTTTTGGCATTGCCTGCGCAGAGGCTGCCAGGGAGTCCGAGATGCTGCGGCGCGCGGGTCCCGGCGCCTGGCGCAAAAAAATCCGAGTCATGCGAGACAGCCATAAAGTGAGGCGTGGGCAAAACTAGGCATCGCGGCATCACTTCTATATGTGTGCCATGGTCCCAAATTTTGGCAATGGACATTGAGTCGCAAAATGTGTCTTGGAGTTGGAGCCTTTGGTAGATATCATTTGCAGCGGGGATTCTGTCCGTCAGCGTTGTTGAGCGTGTTCCCCAAAACTCGTGGCCAAATGCTGTTCACGTCATGGACATGAAGATTTGACTCATTCGATTGCCGCAGTCAAACCTCGAATCCAACTCTTCAAACCCTCTTTTAGTCTTTTAGAAAGAAACAGCTTTCTTTGCAGCCCCTACTAAGAATGGACAGAACTAACCATGAAACCGGAGAACTAAAAACACCTGACAAGAACGGAGCCAACCGCCCTACTCGCCTGCAGAGCAGCCACGGATTCCGACACGCTGCGGGGCGCCTGGGGCCGGTTCAAAGGTGAAAACGTGGTATATATGGGGGGGGGGTTGTCTAGACACCCCCTAAATTGAGGTGTTTCTTTTGATGTCCCCTTAAGCATTGCAGAAAAAGAGTGCCGATATGATCCAGGTCCGTCTGCAAGCCCCCTCCCAATGGTCTGCCCCCTCCCAATGGTCTGTCAAAGAAACCCCAGCCCGCAGATCACGCAGCCCCTCTACACAACTTGTTTCCTTTTCGCCCCCAAAACCACCGGCACCTAAAAGGCTCCACGTTTTTTGAGGAACCCGCGGAACGGAAACGCGCATCCCATGAAACACCTGTGGTGGTTTGGGGGACTGCCTCAAGGAAGGCGGGTTCTGGCACTGCTTGGCACGTTCGGGGGGGGAGGGGGGGGTTGTGGTTTGGAGCATGCTCCTTGTAGGTTCCGTGTTCATTGGAGGGAGGGTGAATGAAAATCCAGCACTGAAGCTAGTGGGAATCTATCTGAGTACCCGGAAGCCACAGAGGACACAATGTTGCCTCAAGATAGGGGAACCCCGAAAGATGGTTGGCTTCCCTTTCGTTGCACGAAGAAGACATGCCCAAAAGGCCAGCGGGATTTGTTGGCTCCGTACCACATTTCAACCATTGGAACGTTCGAGTTCCAAGTTTGAAGGTCCAAGGTATGAGCATTCCGTGACCTATGGTCTCCATTCTTTGAAACGTGGCTCTTTTCTTCAGGATGCCCTTTTCGGGATCGTTCCCTAGGGAAACTAGAGGGGAACCACATTTCGGGGGAGGTCCCATCTGCCCGCAAGTCACTGCAATCCTCCATGTGCTTAAGTCCCTGTTTCCAGTAGTGATAAATTTCCCTTAAAACCAACAGGGGAAATTAAAAATATGCTTAAGCAAATGGAAGCAAATCAAATTGGAAATGAGGAATCTCTAAGGCCTTCCGAATCGGATGTTGCTCGTCCCGACTCGGCTTTCGCTTGTCAATGTTGCCAATCCATCATCTGGGTCTGTCTTGTCTTCAGGGACCAGACACACACCCGAATTGGCGTGGGTGTCCCTTTTGATCTCCCTTCAAAACAGGTATCAAGACTTGCGAAACTTCAAGGATGGTGTCTTAATGTGGTTTCCCTTCCAAATGATATTTGTCAAAACCACGACAACAACAAATTCAGGACCCAGGACACCGGACACCCATCTCACCCCCAGCCTCGGAGGCCGAAAGCGCCGAGTCTTTGCGCGAAAGGGGTCCCGGCGCCTGGAAGGCTCGGGCTGGCAGACGAGATCCAGCCCCAGTCAAAGAACCATAAACGGGTGCCCATGTCCAACCTAAAAACAGGACTACAGGAAACTCACCGGAAAAACCTGACTATCATGCGGAACAAACCAGAAAAGGGAGAAAAATAACAACAACTGTAGGGGCCATCCAAGCCCAAAACGCAACCGACCCCCGCCTCAGCCGCCTCTGCTGCAGAGGCGGACGAGCTGGTGGGCGCCTGGGTTTCGTGTCAGCGGCAAGGGCCGAAATGGGGTCTGTGGAGCTCAGTTGTTCAGTGACCCTGGAGAAAAAAAGGGAACCGGTTTTAAAAAAGATCATTTTTAGTGGGCAGCCACCAAGAGAGAGTGTATGGGTGTGTGTCAAACAAGAACAGCATCGATTTGGAGGCCAATGGCTTCGGTTCTCAACTTGTGGTTTTGAGAGTGAAAGGGGGTAACCTCAAAAAGCGGACGAGCCACGTCTGCCTTTTTTGCTCGTGGCTCGTGGCTGCTTGCCTTTCCAACATCAAAACCGCTAAGGCCTTGTGGGCGGAAACCATGGAGCCAGGTTTTTTCCCCGGGCCTCGGGTCTGACCTCACCTCCCCCCTCGTTGAGATCGCCGGGTTCAAACAGGCTTGACAATGGAACCCCTGAAATGGACATCATGCGCGAAAAGCATCATGCGCAAACACTCACTTTCAGAGTGTCAGAAGAAGTCCAAAGACCTGGTTGTTTGTCGTGAAATTGTGGTCTTCTCAAGCATACAAAGTCCAGGAACCTAGGGAGTGAGTGGAAGGGAAACCTGAGTGAGGATGTTCGACATGCTTCAGCGGCCCTGCCCCGTCGGCCTCCGGCAAAACCGCTTCCTCCGCGGCCGGCGCTTCCGGCACAGCCTGGCAAGCTAGAAGCCTACGTAGAGACTGGGTGTTTCACAAATGGCTGTGGCTCAAAAAAATGGAGCCCAAAATGGCACCTTGCTAAATGGAACCAAAGGCTAAAACCGCGTAACCCTAGCTCTTGAACTTGGAGCCACAGCCAAAAGCTATATATATATACATACCAAAAGGAATCGGTGTGAACCAGGAAGCGGTGTGCACTTCCCAATACATAGCCCCAGTCAAGGAACCATTTCGGGGTTTCCCAGAGTTACAATTCCGAAATGCGCCACCGAAAAAAAGAAAAAGAAAAAATACTTCGCCTCGAGCAATCCCATCCCTCCACACTCACGAGCTTTCGACCGTGAACACGGTTGTGCGAATTCAAGCATGGTTTTCGAGCGGCTTGGGGCCTATGACTGCTCAACAAGCTTTGCATTGAGAGCCTGATCCACCTGTCTGTGTGTCAAACTCCACTTGTCTGCGAGCCAATCTTGAGAACTCAAACATCGGTTCCGTTAACAAAAGCCAAGCCCCTTCCAAAAAGAAACCCGACGGGGGATTAAACGAAGTTGCTTTTTCGCAGCCCAAAGCAACACAAAAGCATCACCCTTTCCGAGCCTCAGGGCACACTCCAAAACACGAAGGCACCAACATGAAATGTAAACCCAACTGTGCGCCGGGCGGGACATTAAGCAAAAGCTCTGGCGGGATACTGGCGGGATCCACTGGCGAACACTGGCGAGCCGCTCCGGCTCGATACTGGCCGGATACTCGGCAAGATCCACCGGCAAGGGATACTCAGCGGAATACTTGGCGCGATCCACTGGCGAGCTACTCTGGGATAATTAGCGGGCTACTCGGCGGGATCCATTGGCGGGCTGTGCTGGTGGAATACTCGGCGGGATCCAGCTACTCTACTCGGCGGGATCCACTGGCGAGCTATCCACTGGCAGGCTGCTCTGGTGGGATACACTGGCGAGCTACTCTGGCGGGATACTTGGCGGGATCCACTGGCGAGCTACTCTGGCATACTCAGCGGGATACTCGGCGGCACCCACTGGCAGGCCCAGAAAAGTGTCCAAGAACCCACAATTCTTAGGAGGTGCCCCCTGTTTTGCTATGGTAAGGTCCCCAATTGGGGGGAAATTCCCCAAGTCCCCTCCAAAGAGGTCCAGACACGCCCCTCTGGTGCAATTGGGTTTGGGGTTTGGCCAAGGACCCCCCGGAGTATGTGGTATGAGATATATATATATATATATATACATATATATATATATACATGTGGGGGGAGGGGACCCTGCCCTTGGGGGGGGGGGGGAAGTTGGTGGCCTGGGGACTGGAACATTACTGTGGATGGACGAAATCACCACCTAAGAAACCATGCTGAACCATTGCTTGGTTGGTTTTTACAGGGGAATCATCCGAAACCAGGGTCTCTGAGGTGGTGCAGGATTTGTCCACCGACAGTGTAGGGATTACCCCCACAGATGGCTTCGATGTTTCTGGGGGCAACAAGGCCATGTCCAAAGTTTTGTGGGGGACACCCCAAAATGGCGGATCTCCTTTTGGTTTCCTTCCAATATCAACCAAAAGGGGGATAGCCTCCAAAACAAACCAGCTACGGAACCAGTGGGCTTTTTCGCTTCGCTGAAGCTCCCGTAGCAACCCAACAAGTGGACAACCCCTCCAGGCCTCACAGTTGGGCCTCACCTCACCCACCTCGTTCAGATTGCCCTCAGGGCTCGGACGATATCCCTGAAACGGAACCCCTGATGCTGGAACACTCACTTGAGTCTCAGCCAAAGTCCAAACTTGTCTACCACTAAAATTGCGTGTTCAGGGAGTATCAAGTCCAAGAACTCAAGGAATGGGTGAAAGGAAAGCCCTGAGGATGTCCAACATGTTTCAACCTGTCTCAGCATGCCTCGGCCGTAATTACCACTTCCGGCTCCGGAAGCGGAGCTGGCGATCCCGTTAGCACGGCCTGCCGGTCCAAGCGAGAAACGCGGCTGACGCAGTCCCACAAAATGGCAACCGTGTCCTTTCGGCTTCCCTGAAAAATACCTAAAGGTGGTTTTCAGAAACTAACAAATAATACAGTTGTGACTGCCCCAAAAAAAAGGTTCAGAGAAGAAACCCAAAAAAACAGGTGCCATCCGATTTAGGAGGAAAGACTGACCACAAGCAGAATCGTTGCGATGTCCTCGCCAAAATAAGGTTGCTTGTTTGATTGCTCAATCTCGGAGGGGCATCCCCTTCAACATATACCGAACCATATAACCCATGGGGTCTGTCGCTTTTGAGGGAACCCTCGTGATGCTCAGCCAGGGTACCCTCGAAACAGGCAAACCATGCTTGGCAAACAACCCCAATTGGGGGCGAGGTGTGCAAAATGGGGTACCGGCCAACCCACTGATACCAAGCCATGGGTACGTGGTACGTGGCACAGAAGTGGCGCTTCTTCCTGCAAGATGAGACCTGCCAGGTGTGCAGGCTCAATCTTGGAGCCTTGACGGTTCCACACCCGGGTTGCGGGAAGTGTCCTAAACCAGGTAAGACTTGCTGGTGCGATAGGTAGGGAATGACCCAGGGGTTGGGAACGAACCTAGGGATTCCCTGAAAGGAAACCATAGAAGATGGTTTATGGGGGTCATTCCCTCGAACCAGCAGGTGTCGTGCCCCCCTACTTTTCAGGAAACACGGATTGAGAGCCATACCGAGAAGAGCTATGCCAAGCTCATTGCGCATCTTTATCGCGTCACCAGGCTGCAATGCCCCGCTTGCTTTGTCCCCAAATCAGCTTGAGTTCAGGGTCTTGCTCCAAGCGACACTGTGCTGTTTCCAGTGCGGGACTGTCCCAAACTAACCTTTCCCAGTTTTAATTGTGCCTCTTTAGAATCTGTGGTGACCCTTTTGTTTGCCTAAGGGGTTCCTCAAAATGAGACGCTGGTGACCTACCCAGCCAGGGCCTCTTCAACTTCCGGCTGTGGCTGTGCCAGCTGCTTTTGTGGCTGCGGGGCGTGCGGCTGTGGTGCCTTTGCCACAGCCTCCGCCCTGGCGTGAAGCCAAGTGAACACTGAACTGGGCACTGCTCATCTGAGGATCGATATGTCCCCTTCGAAACATATATATATATACAAATATATATATATATATACCTAGCAACCCACCCAACCCTCGGTGCATGTCCTTGGGATCTGTTTGAAGGCCGTTTTGAAGGAAAAACAACTCGTTTCATTGAAGTGACTTCCTGAAAATGTGAAATCGCATGAGCACCTGCAATACGCCAGATGATGCTTTCCCTTCACTGTAAAAATGACGACGACGACAACGACAACGTCCGACCACCACCACCTTTGTCGGGGGTCCCCTAAAAGAAGACACCCAAAGAGCAACCAAGCTGGTAGAGTAACCAAAGTTCAGAAGAGCAAGAGCAAGTTCACCCAACACCGCACCGATACAAACCTCGCCATCGCCCCTTTCTGACTACAAGGTTGAAAACCACTTTCAGCTGGATGTGGGCAAGGGAACGTCCTAGTACCGTACTCGGGAGAAGTCCAAGCTCGAAAGTTCGAGTTCAAAATAGCTCAAAATAGATCAAAACACGTCAACATAGATGAAAATAGTTGTTCAACAAAAGTCAGGCTCCAAAGTTATCAGTTGGAGAAGCCCAACCCGTCCCTCCGCGCCCTTCCAGCTCAACCTCGCCTCACCCTCCGCCGCAGCAGCTGCGGCGCCGCGCCGCCGCCGGCGCTCGCGGCGCTCGCGGCCCCGAAGCGGGCGTCCAGCCACGTCTGTCTCTGGAGGAGCACGTCCTGCGGCCGTTCTGTGGATGGTTGCGAAATCCACTTCGCACCACCATTCAGAAACCCTGGAATGGTTCGATTCCCCTGTAAATATCAACAAACAATGGTTTCCCATGGTGTCTTGGGTGGTGCAGGATTTTGTCCATCCACAGTAGTTCCAACCCCAAACCTCGCTCTTCCGATGCTGGCATGATGCTTCCGCGGGCGAGAGTCAATACAGTCCAACTTTCCTGCAGTGCAAAGGGCCTTGTTGAAGGTTTTTATAGGAAGTGTTTGGATTTCCAACCGAATCAAAAGTTGATCAATCTACCAGTGGTGTCCACTGAAACAATCGCCACTTTGGCGAGTCCAAAAAGGGACCCGGCTCGGAAACCCTGTTTTCTGCCTGGGTTTACTTTGCCCCAAATCCCCAGGTGCTACACCCAGTTGGACCCCGCCTGTCGGGTGCTCGACTCGGATTTTCTCGCCCGCAGCCAGGCGATCGCCTGAGACAGCCCCATTTGCGTCTTCGGTTTTGTTGGGGGGGGTGGTGTTCCGCTTTGGTTTTCCTTTGAAACCCACCCAAAAAAGGGGCAGCAGCTCAACAAAGGCAGACCCATGTGTCACTTCACTGCGTCCTCATTTCTCCCGGACCTGGGTGGGGAGAAAATACCCACACTCTTTTTCAGCGTGAGGGAAAACCCACGAGCGGGTCTGGGCTAGTTGGCTCGTTGGTTCGTTGATTGGTTGGTTGGTAGGTTGGCAGGCCGGCCGGCGGGCAAAAAGAAGGGGATCGCTGGGTATCACATAAAGTCGCAACCTTCACACCCCATGTTCCACAACCATGCCCAGTAAAGCGAAAGTCGTGGACGGTTCACCTGGCAAACCTTGCGGAAAACGGCAAAGACAGGGAATCTACCGTCTCGTTTCTTGATCGGGGGTTGACATGATAGCCCCCCAAAAAAAGCCGGTATTGGGTGTAGGGGGTACCAGCCACAATTTGAAGTTCCACAGCTGAAACAAGATTAAACAACATGCACTACTGGCAATAACCAATCACCATCTCAGCGATTTTGAATTGTCGCCAATCTCAAACGGGTACCTTTTGCAAAACCAGACATAGAACCTGCACAAGGGGTCGGGGAAGACAGATTCTTTGTTGAGGGGACCGGTTCCTGCGCAATGTCCGTGCTTGCTCTTGGGAGGGTGTGTGCCAAAAAAATAATTTGGACCCCAAAATGGTGGGTGTGCCTTTGGCTTCCCTTTAAACCAGGCCCCTCAAAAGTCCACACCCTTTGGGTAGCCTTTGGGCCCTTATGGAAGAGATTTCCAAGTGCAGTTCCATGTTTGTTGGATCCCGAGCAAAACTACATGGAACATAAAAACAGGTTCCTTGCGAAGGCATCAATTTGGGGGTTCCAGCCAGGGGGAAGTGAGGGCTGATTCGGACCAATCGGATTCACCAAAGAGCCATGGGAAATGCAAACACGGAACGTAGGGCTCAGCCAACGAATGTGACCGGGGAACCAACTCCTCGGGAACCAACTCCTGGCGAGGGGACTGGTGCGTGACAGGCAAACTTTGGGGGAAGTACCTCCGAAATATGCAAAAGCAGCAGTGTCGACAAGGTCAAACGATGAGAGGAAAATAGGAAAGTCGAACAAGGTCAAAGAAGTCCCTATTCAAACACATAAGCGGCAGCACCGCCAGGTCAAAGTGAAACACAAGGGGTTACGTGCAATCACACCGTCTCAAAACATCTGGCCATGGGTCAAATCCCGTACCCCCAGTAAGCATCCCAATCCCCACTAAAATCGACTAAAATGGATGGTGCACCTACCCCAAGATGGGAGCCCATTGGTTTGGATTTACAGCCGAATCTGAATTTAACCGGAGTCCCTATTCATCTGAGGGCAGGGGCGGCGAATGGCAGTGCCTCTGATTTTCCTTGGCCAAAACCCCGAAGTTCCGCAGAGACGCGGCCAACACCGCCAGCAGCGGCAGCACCAGCACTGTGGCATCCTCAGGGTGGGACCAACTGATTCAAAACACAGTTTAAACTACCTGGAGTCTCCATGACCACCTAAAATTGTGGTCGTGACTCCTTTATTTTGGGCACTGACCCCTTGTTTTTGAGGGTCATGGAGACTCCAGATACTATTGTTTAAACTCGGGCAGGAGAGACAGGGTTTCCTCCATTTCCTTTTTTGGAAACTCCCAATGTGGCGATCGTGTCAATGGACCCCACTGGTAATGTCAACTGTTGAAGGGAAGCAGGGTGGGAACCCGGATTGAACCCCTGGTTGAGAAACAGGGGGATGCCCCCTTTCAGTGGGAATCTGTGTGACACACGCTAGGAACTCTATCAGGATGGGTGTATTAGTCCGGGGTCAACAGTATTAAGGTGGACCCCCGGTGTTAACATGGTTAAAGCTTTAACCACTTTGAACACTCTCCTGTTGGTTTCCCTTGGGGAGCCAGGGCCTTTGTCTTAAACAAACTTTCGAGGGTTGATCAAAAGGTCCACCATTGGAAAAAAAACCACTAAAAAGATGATGTGTCGCACTAGATGGGAAGGACGTTGACCATGGTCGCTTCAGGGGCCAGGAACAACCCCAAATGTTGGCCTACCCCACTAAATGGGAAAAGTTACCCATGGTCCCTTGGGGGTCAGGAATATTGATCAACCCTCAGACGTTACGCTACCCGGATCGAGCCTCCAGCGCCACTTTGAGCGCTGCAGAGAGGAGCGGCGCGCCGCTCCAAGCCATGGCGAAAAGAAAGCGAGAAGCAAGCGGATTGGCGGGGTACTGGTTAAACGGATAAGGCCGGCAAACCAAAGGTGATACTGTGGATGGACAAAGTCCACTTCGCACCACCTAAGAAAAACTGGAATGATGATCCCCCTGTAAATACCAACAAACTTTCCCATGGTTTCCAAGTGGTGCAGGATTTCGTCTATCCACAGTCTGCACACCAAAGGTGATATGTAAACCAAAGGTGATATGTAAACCAAAGGTGATATGTAAACCAAAGATGGTAAAACCAAAGATATTAAACCAAAGGTGGTAAACTTAAGGTGGTAAACCTAAGGTGGTAAACCAAAGATGGCAATCCGAAGGTGGTCAAAACAAAGGTGGTCAAACACAAAATTTATGAAACCAAAAAGGAAGAAGCTGATACACCAAATCAGAAGGCCAACCAAAAGAAGGCGGAAAAAACCAACGCGGAAAAAAACATGGCAAGACAAAGAATGTGAAGAAACTAAAGAAGCCAAAAACCGAGCGAAATAGAAACACTAAAAGCAGGAAACCACGTGGAGCTCTGCCGCTTGCTTCCTTGCTTCGCAAGGCGCCAGAGGGCTTGAGACGGCGAGCAGCGCCAAAGCAACGCTGATGGTCAGGGGGCTTCCCTTCCTGCCATGATCGGCTTCACAAAGGGATAAGCAAAAACCTTGGGTGTGTCTCAAAGTGAGAAAGGACCCCCAAACTGATTCGGTGTCCTTTTGGCCCCCCATTTAAACCCACACTCCAAAACGGGGGAAAACCCCGCCAACCAAATGACATGGAGAAATGGGACCGTTGCCTGCCAGTCTTTCAATTTTTTGGGGGCCCAGACATGTGGGGTTTCAAAAACCCACAAAACGCATCACTTGGAATTATTGGCTTATCCCTTTAAAGTGTGGGGTTTCATTCATCCCAAGTGATGCAGGATTTCCACAGGTTGATCAACCTGGTTGATTTGTGGATGGGTGTCACACTGAGTGGGACATGGAAATCAGAACCATCATTTGTACCGAAATCGCCTTGACCATCTGCTGGCAGTATCAACATTTGATAGTTCCTAGTGCTTTAGCATTTTGAAACTGGTGAGCATTCTTTTGGCCTCTCAATGACTTCCAGCCAAAGGAACCTCCTCAGCCCACAAAGACCATCCAAAACCTGTGTTTACGCCATTAATACCGTGGATGGTTGCGAAATTCCTCGAGTCTCGCACCACCGCTCAGAAACCCAATGATTCGATTCCCCAAGGTAAGTATCATGGTTTCAACCATGGCGTCTTTTCGAGATGGAAGCGGATTTCGCAACCAACCATCCACAGAATTTACCCCATTCAATTGTTTTTTCCTGCACCGGCCCAAAGGGGCTTCCCCTTAGGGACTTCGTGTTGGGCTTCTTCTTTTTCTGGGGCCAGGTGCCTCTGCCACCGCGCCTCAGCCGCTTCGTAAAGTCCTGGCATCTGAAAAAAACGCTTCGGCGTCGGTTGGCGTCGAAGTCGGCTGGAACTCGGCCTCTCCAAATGGAGGTGTCGTCCAATTGGGGACCAACACATGTTTGGCTTCCGCTTGGTGGCCCTTCAAAGCCGACAAAACGAAGGGTTCCCTGGAAAACAGAACAAACGACATGAAACTCTTGTTGAAATCTCTTCGGGGCAAAGAGTCCAGCTTGCGGATAGTTTTCAAACTGCAACATGGGCGTGCGTTTTTCTCGTTTTAGAGGGAAACCAAAAGGGACACCGAAGCCAGTTTGGGGTTCCCTAAGAGACACCGCCGCATGCAACCCCAGGACAGTCTCTGCTTCAAAGTTGAGCCAAGACCTCTACAAAGGCGGCCTTTCGAGGCTTCCTTTCATGGGGGACACGTGGCCATGGGTCAAAAGCCCGTACCCCAGTAAAATAGGTTCTAAAATGGGTGGTGCACCAATCCCCCAAAATGGGATCCCATTGGTTTGACAAGCCACATGGGTTCGAACCAAGCGATCTAGGAGACGAGATACATTCCCAAGAAGTGTAAATCCTGACTATGCGGTTCAACCGGAGCTCGAAGATTCCAGAGACCAGTTCCGAGTTCCGACCTCTGGTCTCTTGGAGTTGGAAAGGGCAACGGGAGAGGGCCGCCTGGTGCGATAGGCAAGGAATGAGAAATGGAATGACACCAAGAAAAACCATCTAAGCGGTTTCCTTTAAGGGAACCCCGGAACGGTGCATTCCCACACTTACTGAGCACCAGCAAGAAAAGGCCGGTGACTTGTTTCTCTCTGCCGGCAGGGGATCCGTAGCTGCATGGCTCCCTTCCAACCGGCCAGAGCAGCATTCGGCTCATATTTTTTCCTCCAGCGCCTGGACCGGTTTGAAACGAGACGCTCTGGATCGCATCGCTGGCAAGCGGTCATGTATTCTGGGCGTTTAAACCTCCCAAACTGGCTTTGGGGCTTGCATCACAATACGCGGAACCAAAATGCTCGTTCACGTGCGGGACATTGATTGAACTTGGCTAGCTGCTCATTTGCCCATCCCAAGCAAGTGGAGTTCCATGCCTCATCTGCCCCTGGTAATGGCGATCTCGCGCATGTCGGATTCAACTCTCTGTCGGTCGCGGCGCAACAAGGTCAAAGTGACACTCTGGTGGCTGGTTTCCTTTCAGTGTCCTTTTCTGAGACCATCCAAAAAGGCATCCCCAATTTTTTGAGACATCATGTTGACCTCCGGAATTCATGGTTAACGATTTGCATCCCCAATGGGTGTAACTCACAAACAGGACCAGTGCCTCCCGGTGGCGCCCTACCATCCAACCTGCAGTCACTTTGCACCCAGCTCTGTACACCGGGCTGAGGCCCCGGTGAGATGGGATTCAAAGCCAACAAATGGTCCCCCATCTCCGCCTCTTTGTGTTTGGGTGTGATTCAGAGTCATGTCCTTTGTCCAGGGGCTCTTTAACACCAGACTCTACTTCCTATCACTAGCATAGTGACTCTGGAGTACATCAGAAAGACCAAATTCCTCCTAAGGAGGAGGACCCAAAGGTCGGATTCCACTGATTCCACATTGGTGCGGGCACCTTCGAATTGCCATCTCCCCGCGTCTCTCAAGCCGAAGCCAAATCGCCGAATCGCCCAGGGTGGGCCCAAAGCTTTTGTACATGCTCACGCCTCATCAGCTCGCCACGGGATTTTCTGGTCTTCGAGCTGGGCCGGCCTATATGGAGATTGAGTGAAATGAATTCAACCCATCCACGATGGCCCTGGTCAACATTCGGACCCCTCCCCAAGGGTCGACAGTCCTGACTAAGGACGAAGGCCAAACAACACAAGCCAAACTGGCCTCAAAAGTTGGGTGGGGTGTTGGGGGAATGAAGCCCCAAACCAAATCCAACAATCGGCCTCAGCTCTTCTGCGTAGACTCGCCGCACCAAGGCCTAAGCGAGCAAGCCTTTGGCCTGGTTTTGGAAAGCGAGGGTCTGTGCACGTGCTTGTTCATGAGACTTCCCCTGTCTTGGGTATTCCTGGGATCCACAGCAACGGTCATCCAAACAATCGCTTGCAAGAAATGGTCACTGTCCGGCATTCAACATCTAGTTATACAAAATGCATGTGCCTTGCCACGGCAGCCATATATAAATTATTTGGGTATATAAATTATAATTCACCAAACAGAAACAACAAGACATCCATCATGAACAAGGTCGCAAGCCACTGGTAGGTGAGGTGGCTTTTAGTTGCAGCATGCCCCAAACAACCGGATACGTCAAAATGAAGCTCTTGTTAGAATTGGTCCAATGAGACGAGGAAATTCGCCAGTGGGCGGGCATGTCCGCAGGAAAAACTGGAGATTGAAATCCATAAACCTGTCAAAGAGCCTGGACATGTTCGAGCTGAAAACGCAAGGTGGGCACGCCTTCTTGAGTATCATGTTGTGGTTTCAAAGCAAAATCCAAGGAACCATCCCCCCTTTTTTTTGGGGGGGAGGCCGTGTTTTGAGACAATGCCACATCTGTCAAAGAGCATGCGCACAAAGGTATACCTTGCATGATAGGCATTCAGGAAATCAGCTTTGCCTCCTATGCCGCACCACAAACTCGAGTTGCATGCCTACACGCGCCTCCAAGCACCAACAGTGATCAGCCGGTGAGGCAATCGCAAGAAGAAATTCGCGGGGATGGCGTACTGGGTCCCAGCGGTTGATTTGGGAATGTATCGGGACCCTTGGTGTAGGGCAAGCAACTTCAAAGGTTAGGTGGTGTTCTACTTTAAGACACACTTTCACCACAAAACATGACACCAACGGTCCAAAATTAGCGCCCCAGCTGTTGTGGTATCAACTTCGCGGCTCGTCCCCATGTCACGAACCTCAAATTGACCATTTAGACAACACACAACATTTGGAATGGGTACGTCTTTTTGAGGGCGCACCATCTTGGGTGTTGTTTCTGAGGGGGGAGCCACAAAGTCAACCTGGGGACGCGGAACCAAATGGTTGCGTTTTTGAACTGGGGACCTTTTGATGGACATCATTGGGTGGACATGTACGTCCACCCACCACTGTTGAGGGAGGTTCCCCGCTGAGTTCCCCATTAAAGTTTTTAGCTGGACGTCAACCTGGGAGGTTTTCTTCCAAAGGGGAACCTAATCTAAACCGTAAACGGGGACCACATGTCAACCTCGGAGGCTTATTGAGCCCTGTTTGGTGTTCTTCAAAGGGAAAACCAAATGACAACCGGGTTGTGATCCCAAATCCTCCACTAATCCTCCACTTAGAGGAAGCCACTGCCACTGGGCATGCGGAAGGATGCAGTTTGAACAACCCAGGTTTTCGTCACAATGGGTGTTTTCAGGCAAAACCGATTTGGCCCTCTCAAAGTCATTGTTCAACGATACCAAGCGATCTGGGTATGTGTCAAAATATTGGGACCTCGACCACTTGTGGCTTGCCTTCTCTTTCTTTAAAACAACCCCGAAAAGGGCACTCTCAAAAAAAGACGAGCCCATTTAGATGG